GAGGCTGCGTGTGGGCAGCCCAGCTCTGGCCGTCTTCCTGGCTGCTCAGGCAGGTCTGCTGCTCTTCTTCCTGTGCGCCCACCACGGGGGCCTCTTTCTGCCACACCCAGGGGGTGAGCGCCCCTCCTCGTCCTCGCAGGTCCATATCCTGATCCTGTCCTCCTGGCGGTCCGGTTCCTCCTTCGTAGGGCAGCTCTTCAGCCAACACCCGGACGTCTTTTACCTGATGGAGCCAGCCTGGCATGTCTGGGCCACCATGCACCAGAACGGGGCCCGGGTCCTGCACATGGCGGCCAGGGACCTCGTCCGCTCTGTCTTCCAGTGTGATCTATCCGTCTTTGAGGCCTACCTGCCTGAGCGGCGGAGGAGGAATGTGTCGGCCCTCTTCCAGTGGGCCGTGAGCCGGGCCCTGTGCTCCCCGCCAGCCTGTGACTCTTTTCCACGTGAAGACATTGCCAGTGAGGGCGCCTGCCGGACCCTATGCGGCCGCTCACCCTTGGCCAAGGCAGAGGAGGCCTGCCATAGCTACGGGCACATTGTGTTGAAAGAGGTGCGCTTCTTCGACCTGCGCGTCCTCTACCCGCTGCTCACCGACCCCTCCCTCGACCTGCGAATTGTCCACCTGGTGCGTGATCCCCGGGCAGTGGCCAGGTCCCGCGAGCGGTCGGCCCAAGCCCTCTCCCGCGACAACGGGATTGTGCTAGGCACCAACGGCACCGAGGTGGAGGACAGCCAGTTCCAAGTTTTGCGGGAGGTCTGCCGCAGCCACGTGCAGATCTACGAGACGGCCACGCTTAAGCCTCCCCACTTCCTGAAAGGCCGCTACCTAATGGTCCGGTTCGAGGACATCGTGCGGGACCCCGTCGGGGAAATCACAGCCATGTACGACTTTGCCGGCTTGCGGCTGACTCCCAAACTTCAGGCTTGGATCCACAATATCACGCATGGGGCCGGGCCGGGCCGCAAGAAGGAGGCCTTCCAGATCACCTCCCGAAACGCAGTCAACGTCTCCCAGGCCTGGAGGAACGCCCTCCCCTTCCAGAAAGTCAAGCAAGTGCAGGAGGCTTGCAAAGGCGCTTTTGGCATCCTGGGCTACCAAACGGTGGAGTCCGAGAGAGAGCAGAAAGATTTGTCCATAGAAGTGGTGTTGCCCCATCGAAAGAGCCAGTTCAGCTGGGCCTCCCTCAGTGGGAGCTAAATGGGACATCACACCTCTCTGTTGTTTTCTTCATTCTCCAAACAACGGGACTCTACTCCTTTTGATGTCTCTAGTAATGGCTCCTAGTAGTTATGTAAATGCAAAGAGATGGACTGAAGGGCTGGAACTGGTTCGCAGGGGCAAGCCCTTCCACCCAGTCCCCTCATTGGGATGTGCCAGCTACCTCTTGAAAAAGGAAAGGGACAGGAGCACATTCTGCCTGGCGTGGAAAGGCAGCGTGGGGCATCTAGAAAGCAGGCTTCGATGTGCATAATGCTTCAGTACAGAACACAACTCTGTCACCTGGGAGAAAAGTACAAATAGAATAACAGCAGTGTTTCATTCCGAGTCTTTTAGTGTTTTAAAACTCTAAATATGGTCCCAGGCTCTGATTGCATTCATGCTGTCTCCAGCTTAAGGCTTTTCTTTCTTGGCAAAATTTATTTGCGGGGGGGGGGGGGGGTAGTCCTTGCCTCCCTCTGAGGCCGAGGGACTGTGACTTGCCCAGGATCATCAGGGGAGGGAATCCATGGCCAAGTGGAGATTCGAACCTTGGTCTCAGAGTCATAGCTCTATTGCAACTTATAAGGTGCCCCCGGTGGCACAGTGGGTTAAACCCCTGTGCCGGCAAGACTGAAGACTGACAGGTCGCAGGTTCGAATCCGGGGAGCGGCGGATGAGCTCCCTCTATCAGCTCTAGCTCCTCATGCGGGGACATGAGAGAAGCCTCCCACAAGGATGATAAAAACATCAAATCATCCAGGCATCCCCTGGGCAACGTCCTTGCAGACGGCCAATTCCCTCACACCGGAGTCACTTATGACACGACAAAAAAAAAAAAACAGGTACAGGTTGCAGAATTCCCGACAGGTACCAATGTTTACATAGGGAGGGGCTGGGAAGACCCTAATTTATTTGCTCGCTCTCGAGATGCCAATGGAAGTATGATTACCAACGGCATAGGGAGCTGGGGGGTCACAGCAATGCCCACCTGAAGGGATGCTGCCTTCTTGAGGGGGATGTTCTGGAACAAGTCCCATGCTGCTGTTCAGAAGGATACTGGGCTGTTGGGCATTCAAGTTACCAAGCAGGGACCTTCTAAAGCAGCATGGGCCAACTTGGGCCCTCCAAGTGTTTTGGACTTCAACTCCCACAATTCCTAACAGCCTCGGGCCCCTTCCTTTTCCCCCTCAGCCGCTTAAGCGGCTGAGGGGGAAAAGGAAAGGGCCCGAGGCTGTTAGGAATTGTGAGAGTTGAAGTCCAAAACACCTGGAGGGAAGGCCCAAGTTGGCCCATGTCTATCCTAAAGCCACCCTGACCTTACTTTTTTTGCATCCAGGCTGGCAGGGATTCTCCTCCGACCGAGGCTCTTCCAAGGGATGGACTGAGGCTTGGCAGCATTCGGAAGAGGCAGCAGCGCCTTTCTGGGCCATCATCTGGAGCCTGGATAGTCTCTTCGCTGCTTTAGAATTGGCAGGAAAAATCACTATTCAGAAAACCCCCTAAACACCCAAATGCCTGCCCCACCACACACAAGGACCCAATAAGTACATTTCCCTCCCCTTTCTGTTCCCATTGTGGTTCGTGGCAGCCAGCCAGTTTCTGGAGATAATAGATAGAATTAAATCATAGAATCAAAGATTTGGAAGAGACCTCATGGGCCATCCAGTCCAACCCCCTGCCAAGAAGCAGGAATATTGCATTCAAATCACCCCTGACATATGGCCATCCAGCCTCTGTTTAAAAGCCTCCAAAGAAGGAGCCTCCACCACACTCCGGGGCAGAGAGTTCCACTGCTGAACGGCTCTCACAGTCAGGAAGTTCTTCCTCATGTTCAGATGGAATCTCCTCTCTTGTAGTTTGAAGCCATTGTTCCGCATCCTAGTCTCCAAGGAAGCAGAAAACAAGCTTCCTCCCTCCTCCCTGTGGCTTCCTCTCACATATTTATACATGGCTATCATATCTCCTCTCAGCCTTCTCTTCTTCAGGCTAAACATGCCCAGCTCCTTAAGCTGCTCCTCATAGGGCTTGTTCTCCAGACCCTTGATCATTTAAATCAAAGGTATTTAAAGTGCAGAGGGGTTCCCTTGGGGACATGGGGCAGGATACAAATAAATTATTATTATTATTATTATTATTATTATTATTATTAATACTATATAATAATAATATAAACACAAATAGATGAGTCCACAGCAGACATCACTCTGCTGCTGCTGTATTATTATTATTATTATTATTATTATTATTATTATATTGAAACACAACAAGATGAGTCCACAGCAAGACACTCTGCTGGCTGTTGAATTGGATCACACGTCGGACACTTCCCAAGTGTCTAGGATTGTGTGATGTATCGGCGAATAATGCGTGCAGATCCCAGTAAGGTGGTCTTCTGCAGCTGGCAGATGGTAATTTTGTCAGCGCCGATTGTGTTTAAGTGCAGGCCAAGGTCTTTAGGCACTGCACCCAGTGTGCCGATCACCACTGGGACCACCTTTACTGGTTTGTGCCAGAGTCTTTGCAGTTCAATCTTTAAATCCTCATATCATGTGTTAGCTTTTGCAGTTGTTTCTCTTCAATCCTGTTGTCACCTGGGATTGCAATATCAATATTCCATACTTTGTTTTTTAACACAATCGTGAGGTAAGGAGTATTGTGCTCCAGAACTCCGTCTGGCTGAATTCGGAAGTCCCAGAGGAGTTTTTATTATGATTATTATGATTATTATGATTTATTATTCCCGCATCGTTATGGCCGTCCTCTGAGGCTGAGAGAGTGTTCTTTGCCCAGAGCTGGCGCTCTGAGACCAGGACAGACTCAGAGTCCCAGCTCCACAGTCAGCCTTTCCCTTTGCTGTCTCTGGGGATGATGGGAGAAATTGCCGGGGAAACCCACTGGGCTACATTGGGTAGGCCGCACTCTCTGTTCTTGAAATGTGCTGGATCACAGGCTCCATCATCCCTAGGCCTTGCAAGGGGAAGGCAGCTTGACTTGGGAGATGGGGGCAGGACACACTTGGGAGCAAAGGCCCAAAAGAGAGCGAGAGAGGCCCAACTGGCCACCCCCTTCTTTCCCTCTCCCCCTCCTACTTAGAGAAAATTTCGCTTGTGTTGTCGAAGGTTTTCATGGCCGGAATCACTGGGTTTCTGTGAGTTTTCCGGATTGCCTGGCCATGTTCCAGAAGCATTCTGTCCTGATGTTTCACCCACATCTGTGGCAGGCATCCTCAGAGGTTGTGAGGTCTGTTGGAAACTGAGCAAGTGGGGTTTATATATCTGTGTCGCAGGTTCGAATCCGGGGAGAGGCGGATGAACTCCCTCTATCAGCTCCAGCTCCTCATGTGGTGATATGAGAGAAGCCTCCCACAAGGATGATAAAAACATCAAATCATCTGGGCATCCCCTGGGCAACGTCCTTGCAGACAGCAAATTCTCTCACACCAGGAGTCACTCCTGACACGACAAAAAAAAATTTTTTTAATAATGTCCAGGGTGGGAGAAAGAACTCTTGTCTGTTGGAGGCAAGTGTGAATGTTGCAGTTGGCCGGCTTGATTAGCATTTAATAGCCTGGCAGCTTCAAAACCTGGTTGCTTCCTGCCTGGGGGAATCCTTTGTTGTGAGGTGTTAGTATATTATTTAAGAATACAGAAATGCCTCTAACAACTCTAACAACCACTAGGTCAGACTACACAGAGAAGCCACTGAAGCTCACAAGTTGGTGGACAATTTCAACTGAATTTCAATGGTAGAGGCTCCTTCTTTGGAAGCTTTTAAACAGAGGCTGGATGGCCATCTATCGGGGGCGCTTTGAATGCAATGTTCCTGCTTCTTGGCAGAGGGTTGGACTGAATGGCCCATGAAGTCTCTTCCAACTCCATGATTCTATGAAAGGAGGAAACCATGAAAATGAACAAATTCTGGCTATCAGTATTAAACTCCAAAACCATGACAGTAAATAAAGAGCAACACTCAAAAAAATGGGAATTCCAGACAGGAAAAAATCAGGGCCAGCTAACACCTCCCAACAAAGGATTCCCTCAGGCAGGAAGCAGCCAGGCTTTGAAGTTGCCAAGCTACTCAATGCAAATCAAGGTGATCTATTGCAACATTCACACTTGCTTCCAACAGACAGTTATTTCTCCCACCCAGACATCATTCCACAGACACACACACATACACACCTCACTTATTTATTATTATTTATTTTGTTTACAGTATTTGTATACTGTAAATAAAATCAGTTTACACATAAGTAGTGGCAAAAATTTAATGCCAGTACAAACAATTACAATCATACACTACACTTAGACATAAATCAAGTTAAAAACAATACATCCATAAGAAATAAAACAATCATTAAAACAATAAAACAGTCTCGTCCGTCGAATCGCTGTTCCAGTCATTGTCGACTCACCGTTCAGGTCACTTGCTGAGGCTGTAGGTTTTTCGGGCTGAGGATGTTTGCCATAGATGCAGGTGAAACGTCAGGAGAGAATGCTTCTGAGAATATGGCCATATAGCCCCAAAAAAACCCTACAACAACCCAGTGATTCCAGTCATGAAAGCCTTCGACAATACATCTCTCTTGCCTAGTTTCCAATAGACTTCACAACCTCTGAGGACGCCTGCCATAGATGTGGGCGAAACGTCAGGAGAGAATGCTTCTGAGAACATGGCCATATAGCCCGAAAAAACCTACAACAACTCAGTGATTCCAGTCATGAAAGCCTTCGACAATACATCTCTCTTGCCTAGTTTCCAACAGACCTCACAACCTCTGACATAGATGTGGGCGAAACGTCAGGAGAGAATGCTTCTGCAGTGTCCAGGCGCAGCCACAAGAGGGCAATCCAGAGACAAGGAAGGCCAGTCAGAGAGACCGAGGACAGCGGCAAGAGGGGCTGCTCCCAGTGCGCTTGCGCGGAATTCCCTGTCGGACTAGTGAAGCCCTTCGCGGCCACCGTCCCCTCTCTGTGCGCCTGCGCAGAACTCCCTGGCCCACTCAGCCCGGATTTGTGAAGCCGAGGAGGGCTCCTCTTCTCCGCTTGGCTGGCTTCGAGGCCCCGCTTCCTCCGCCACTCTTTCCCCCGGCGCCAGGATGGCGGACGAAGAGCTGGAAGCCCTGCGCAAGCAAAGGATGGCCGAGCTGCAGGCCAAGCACGGGGTGAGTGAATGGAGGGTGGGAGTGAGGCCTAGCCTGGCGCTTCCAGGCCCCATTTCCCCCCATTTGGGGAATGAATGCGGGTTGACACCGCTGCCGTGGCTCAGGGCTAGAGAAGCATGGCAGTTGTCCTTTCCCAAGGCCTTGGGGAAAAAGGAGGCCGAACTACAACTCCCAGCATCCCTTCACAGCAGTTCAAGGGATGCCAAGCTGTAGTCATTCAGTCTGAATGTAAATCGGATTTTGAATTGTATTAAAATTGGCAGGAAAGCAGCAGACAGCCCTCCAGGTGTTTTGGACTTGAACTCCCACCATTCCTAACAGCCTCAGGCCTTAGAATCATAGAATCGAAGAGTTGGAAGAGACCTCATGGGCCATCCAGTCCAACCCCCTGCCAAGAAGCAGGAAAATTGCATTCAAAGCACCCCTGACAGATGGCCATCCAGCCTCTGTTTAAAAGCTTCCAAAGAGGAGCCTCCACCACACTCCGGGGCAGAGAGTTCCACTGCCAAGAAGCAGGCTCTCACAGTCAGGAAGTTCTTCCTCATGTTCAGATGGAATCTCCTCTCTTGTAGTTTGAAGCCATTGTTTTGCATCCTAAGCTCCAAGGAAGCAGAAAACAAGCTTGCTCCCCCCTCCTCCCTGTCGCTTCCTCTCACATATTTATACATGGCTATCATATCTCCTCTCAGCCTTCTCTTCTTCAGGCTAAACATGCCCAGCTCCTTAAGCCGCTCCTCATAGGGCTTGTTCTCCAGACCCTTGATCATTTTAGTCGCCCTCCTCTGGACACATTCTAGCTTGTCAATATCTCTCTTGAATTGTGGTGCCCAGAATTGGACACAATATTCCAGGTGTGGTCTAACCAAGGCAGAATAGAGGGGTAGCATTACTTCCCTATCTAGACACTATGCTCCTATTGATGCAGGCCAAAATCCATTGGCTTTTTTGCCGCCACATCACATTGTTGGCTCATGTTTAACTTGTTGTCCACGAGGACTCCAAGATCTTTTTCACACGTACTGCTCTCGAGCCAGGCATTGTCCCCCATTCTGTATCTTTGCATTTAGTTTTTCCTGCCAAAGTGGAGTATCTTGCATTTGTCACTGTTGAACTTCATTTTGTTAGTTTTGGCCCATCATCTCTCTAATCTGTCAAGATCGTTTTGAATCTGCTCCTGTCTTCTGGAGTATTGGCTCTCCCTCCCAATTTGGTGTCATCTGCAAACTTGATGATCATGCCTTCTAACCCTTCATCTAAGTCATTAATAAAGATGTTGAACAGGACTGGGCCCAGGACAGAACCACGCGGCACTCCGCTCATCACTTCTTTCCAACCATTAGATGTCTGGCAGCCATCAGACCCTTCCTTTTCCCCCTCGGGAAGGGGAAAGAAGAGGCCCAAGGCTGTTAGGAATGGTGGGAGTTGAAGTCCAAAACACCTGGAGGGAGGGCCCAAGTTGGCCCATGCCTGGGATAAGTAAACATAAAGATATTTATTTATTTACTGTATTCGTATACCACTTTTCTCAGCCAGTTGGCGACTCAAGGCGGTTAAGATAAATAAATATAATAATGATAACATTGCGTGACACTATTTTTGTTCCTGGATTACAAATGTCGTTTCCAAATGGGATCTATCATAAAAGCACAGAAAAGGTTTATTAAACTGCAAAAACTTTGTTTTTGTGAAAGGGACGTAGAATCCTAAAGTTGGAAGACCTCGTGGGCCATCCAGTCCAACCCCATTCTGCCAAGAAGCAGGAATATTGCATTCAAAGCACCCCTGACAGATGGCCATCCAGCCTCTGCTTAAAAGCCTCCAAAGAAGGAGCCTCCACCACACTCATAAACACAATAATAATAATAATAATAATAATAATAATAATAATAATAATAATTGCAAAAACTTTTGTTTTTGTGAAAGGGACATAGAATAAAAGTTGGAAGAGACCTCATGGGCCATCCAGTCCAACCCCATTCTGCCAAGAAGCAGGAAAATTGCATTCAAAGCACCCCCAACAGATGGCCATCCAGCCTCTGTTTAAAAGCTTCCAAAGAAGGAGCCTCCACCACACTCCACATAATGATAATAATAATAATAATAATAATAATAATAATACTGCAAAAACTTGTTGTTTTTGTGAAAGGGACATAAAATCCTAAAGTTGGAAGAGACCCCTTGGCGTGACTGCCTGGAGTGCCTGTTTGCCTTCCCATCAAGGCGGTACCTATTGAGCTACTCACATTTGCATGTTTTCAAACTGCTAGGTTGACAAGCTGGGGCTAACAGCGGGATCTCACGCGGGTGATTTCAGAATTGGGAGTCCTGTGTCAGTATGATGATTTACGAGGGTTGAATGAAAAGTAATGCCTCCACCTTTGAACTGCCAACCTTCAGGTTAGCAAAGTCAGCAGCTCAATGGTTTAACCCATTGTGCCACCCATGACCCCTTCTAGGACTTGGAGGAATGAGTTCAAATTACAGGAAAGAAGATTGCACCTGAACATTAGAAAGAACTTCCTGACTGTACGAGCTCTCTGCCTCGGAGTGTGGTGGAAGCTCCTGTTGCTACTAAGAGGTTGCAACGGACTTTATCCAAATTGTTGTAAGGATCAAGGCTGCTTGTGCTACAGCTGTTTCAGTTAATTGAAGAGCTCATTGAGAGCATTACTTTCATGTGTATTAAGATAGCTACTGTGTGTTTAGTTTCTTTGCCATTGTGCGTTTATGCCATTGTGCGTTTATGCCATTGTGCATCTATGCCTCCACGCAGGCCCGTAGCCAGGATTTCGTTTCGGGGGGGGGGGGGGGGGTGGGAAAATTTGGGGGGGTTCGGGGGGGGCTGAGTTTCGGGGGGCTGAGTCTGGGTGAAAGAGGGTCTGCCCTAGCAAACCTTTTGTATCATTACCCCAATACCCCCATACATATGGGATATATTGAGTATGGTGATCAGATCATGATATTAATAAACATAACAGTTTAAATAATGCACCAGTAAGGCCTTTTCGCGAACCACCATGAGAATTTGGGGGGGCTGAAGCCCCCCGAGCCCCCCCCCCCCCCCCCCCCCCCCCGGCTACATGCCTGCCTCCACGCCACTTTGCTTTGTGTAAGCCGGGGACTATGCTGCAGATGTACTGTGAAGACACAGCCATGTGAAGAAGACAAGGATTCCTGCTTATTACAGCTGAGTAAAGATAACTCTCAGAAGATATTATTTTGTGTTACTTTTGTGGAAAGAGCAATCCTGCTACTTTGTTTTGTATGCTGCCAACACAACAATTTTTTTTCTACTTTAAGCCAAAGTCTCATGTGTTTTTCTTTTATGAGCCAATTTCGTCACACACAAAGTTAACTGGGCTAGAGTCAATCTGTATGCTACTCATGCTATCGCATGACAGTTCCTTCCTTGGAAGCTTTTAAACAGAGGCTGGATGGCCATCTGTCAGGGATACTTTGATTGTGCTTTTCCTGCATGGCAGGGGGTTGAACTAGATGGCCCATGTGGTCTCTTCCAACACTATGATTCTATGCAGCCCAGTGTTGCATTGGCTTTTTAAACTACCGCATCACACTACTGACTCATGTTCAGTTTGTGATTTACTAATACTCCTAGATCCCTTTCACATGTACTGTTTTCAAGCCAGGTGTCACCCATCCGATGTATGGATTTCCCAGCAGCCAAAGCCCATGCCCAACACAAGGACTGCCAAAGGGTAAACTAGGGAGGGATCCTGTGTCTTCATAGTTTTGTAGAAGAGGGGATTTCAGCATGCCTTGGTTCTTGGAAAATCCCCTCTTCCTAAACATCACAATGGGTTTCACTGAGCCAGTAACACTGAGAGAGGCACGTGCACACACACAGCCTTGTTTTGTTGTTCAATAGAAGACTTGCATAGAAAAGAGACATTGATATAGATTTTACTTAGCTGAGTATATACACCTACTTGAATCTAAAGATTTCAGAATTGGGAGTCCTGTGTCACCATGATGATTTACGAAGGTTGAATGAAAAGTAATGCCTCTGCCTTCATTACTTGGGTTTGGATGGGAATATTTTAATAAATCAAATGCAGAAATAATCCTTAGAATGTGCTCTTTAACTACCACTATTCACTTTTCCACATAATCACCAGACAATTGGATACATTTCTGCCAACGATGAACAAGTTTTCTGAAGCCGTCATAGAAGAAGTCGACACTCTGTTTCCGCAACCCATCGTGCACAGATCTTCCGATAGCCAAGCAAAGCAATAATGTGACCCACACGTTCTTGTGAAATGCCGATTATGCTTGAAATTTCTCTCTGAGTGATACGACGATCGTCCTGAATCAATCTGTCAACCTTTTGCTTGTGAAACTCGGTGGTTGCTGTCACAGGACGTCCAACTCTTTGTTGTCACGCAAGTCAGATGTTCCCACCTCAACATCTTTAAACTTACTCACCCAACGACGCACAGTACTCACATCAACACAATCACCATACACAGCTTGCATTCTCTGATGAATCTCCTTTGGGGTGACACCTTCGACTGCACATTACTTAAGTTGCATTGACCGACCGTCTGCGCAGGGTTCCATACTTTGCACTTTAACAACACAACTGTTCAATGCTAAGGCTTCCCGCCAAAATGGAACTGTAAAGGAGAATCTACTGAACAAACCACTACCTGCTGCATACCAGTACTGCCATCTGTTAAGGAGTTACGAAGGTGGAGGCATTACTTTTCATTCAACCGTCATATTTTTATCACAGCAAAGGCTTTGCAGTAAGCACATGAGTCTTTATGGTGCCACAGGATTTGTTGTTTTGTTTTGTTTGCTGCAAAAGACAAATATGGCTTCCCTTGATGACTTAATAATTAGGACACTGGTTCTCACTGAGGACAACAGAGAATCGGTTTGTGGACCGTGGCACTTCAAGATATTTGGGTGCTTATTCACACTAAAGAAGTTATTCTTTTCTTAAGGAAGGATAATAATTTTCTATGGAGAGGGTATGTGGAAGGTTGTTTTTGATGTGGTATGTAACAAACTTTAAGCATACCTTTGCCATCCCATTACAAAGTAAAACAACCCAGACAAAGTTGACACACTTTAGTAACAACTAACAGCCACCGTCCCCCAAATCTCCCCATAGAAGACTCATACAATTATCTTATTTATCATAATTTTCCTTATTTTGAAACTTTCAGGATCCTTCTGGTGAGATCGCACAACAAGAATCAAAACAGAGGTATGGATCGACAATAATGCATATGAGGGGAATTTTAAAGAGGTTTTTATTAAAACCTTTGGATGGTCTGTTTTTTTCTGTGTAAAATGAGTCTAATTGCATTACAGGGAGGCAGAAATGAGAAATACTATTTTAGCTCAAGTTTTGGATCAAGCAGCTCGTGCCAGATGTAAGTATTTATGCTGCTTTCTAAATAATGTTGCCTTTCTCTGAATCATATTCTTATATTGCCTAATACATTTCACAGTAATCAAGCCCAGGAGGACCATGCTTACATGGGTAGCCAGTGTTCCCCGACTTCTCTCCCTGTTTTTGAAATAAATATTGAGGACTTTTTTTATCCTGGCAGGCAAATTACTTTTTGTCAACTTTAGTGCTCCTGTATATTTTACTTCCGTTTGTTCCCTCGGCCTTTGTTATTTATTTTTGTCCTTTTTTTAAGGCGGTGGTTCTCAACCTTCCCAATTCTGCAACCCCTCATGTTGTTGTGACCTCCAGCCACAAATGTATTTATTTATTTATTTATTTACTGTATTTGTATACTGTCTTTTCTCAGCCCATAGAAAAGGCAGTAGGTGACTCAAGGTGGTTAACAGGGTAAAATTCAATGCTTACAATATCATAAATACAATTAAAAACATAACGTATAATAAAAATTAAACATATCAATAAAATATAAATTCATAGTGTCTCCTTGTTAAAAACGTTGTCTGGTCTCATAGTCCATTTTCTTATGTCAGTTACTTTGCATTTGGATCTTAAGGCCCTAGATGGTTCATAGTTATGTTACTTCATAGTTGTAATTTTGCTTCTATTATGAACCGTAAAGTAAATATCTGATATGCAGGATGTATTTTCATTCACTGGATCAAATTTGGCACAAATACCCAATACGCCCAAATTTGAAAACTGGTGGGCTTGGGAGGGGATTGATTTTATCATTTGGGAGTTGCAGTTCCTGGGATTTACAGTTCACCTACAATCAAAGAGCATCCTGAACTCCACCAACGATGGAATTGAACCAAACGTGCCACAATGTTCACATTTGGGCATACTGAGTATTTGTGCCAAGTTTGGTCCAGATCTATCGTTGTTTGAGTCCACAGTGCTCTCTGGATGTAGGTGAACTATAACTCCAAAACTCAAGGTTAATGCCCACCAAATCCTTCCAGTATTTTCTGTTGATCATGGGAGTTCTGTGTGCCAAGTTTGGTTCAATTCTATTGATGGTGGAGTTCAGAATGCTTTGTGATTTTAGTCTAACTATTAATCCAAGCAACTACAACTCCCAAATGACAAAATCAATCCCTCCCCAACCCACCAGTATTCAAATTTGGGCATATTGGGTATTTGTGCCAAATGTGGTCCAGTGAATGAAAATACATCCTGCATATCAGATATTTGCATTATGATTGATAACAATAGCAAAATTACAGTTACGAAGTAGCAACAAAACTAATGTTATGGTTGGGGGTCACCACAACATGAGGAACTGTATTAAGGGGTCACGGCAGTAGGAAGGTTGAGAACCAGTGCACTAGAGGATAATGATGTTTTCCACCTCAGATAAGAGTTTAGAGCATGCTGGGCACAATGTCATCTCTTTCTTAAAGGGATTGTTTTTAGCTGTGATCTTTCACAAATAAGAGTCTAGAATGCCTATTATTGCATTATAATGTATTATTACATTTCTTGGGATGTTAAAAAAATAACCACAAACTTCTTTGTTTTTCTTTTGCAGTAAGTAATTTAGCTCTCGTAAAGCCAGAAAAGGCCAAAGCAGTTGAAAACTATCTTATACAGATGGCGAGATTTGGGCAGTTAGGTGGGAAGGTGAGTTGATTCTTTGCCATTGTCACTTGATGAAACAAACCTTGGTGCTGTCAGGTTGAAGACGTGTAGGCTTATATATATTCAGAAGCAACAAATCAAAGGGGTGGAAGACCTCAGGTTGTAGAGCCAAATCCTGCCCTCCTTGCATTCTTCTCCAGTTCCCAAACTTCCCTGTGTGGCCACATTCTCTTCTCTTCGACACCTTCCCAACCTTTGTATATATTTTTCCTTTCCAAAGGATTGAAATGCCTGTCTTCAGTGTTAGAACTTTTGACTGAATTTTGGTGGGACGGTATGACCTCTGTATCCATGGTTTCATTTTTCCATGTCCAACACAATAGGCATTTTCTAGGCTCTCTAGTAGAACCATGGAATCTTGGATCAGAAGTCCTTCATTTCAATAGGGTTTGCTATTATCTGCTGATTTCACGTGTCCATGCAAAGTCTGGAAACTTATCCTTTGTGGATATTGGGGGGGAAAGGGTCGTACTATATACCATATGTACTCGAGTATAAGACATCTATGGCAGGCATCCTCAGAGGTTGTGAGGTCTGTTGGAACTAGGCAAGTGGGGTTTATATATCTGTGGAATGTCCAGGGTGGGAGAATTAACTCTTTGTCTGCTTGAGACAAGTGTGAATGTTGCAATTGACCACCTTGATTAGCATTGAATGGCCTTGCCGCTTCAAAGCCTGGCTGCTTCCTCCCTTGGGGAATCCTTTGTTTGGAGGTGATTAACAAAAACTGAGGAATTCCACACAAGGTACCATCAGGGCCAGCTAATCACCTCCCAATAAAGGATTGCCCCAGGCAGGAAGCAGCCAAGCCTTGAAGCTGCAAGGCTATTTAATTGCAGAGTTCACAATTGCCTCAAATACCATTGAGTTTTTTTTTTTACCAAGGAATTGTTATCCTTTTGGTGAATTTTCCATGGAGGAAATAAATAATTACTACCAAGCAGTAGAATGAATTCTGGTGTTTTAGCACCTTGCACACAAATGAGAGTTGATTCTCAGCACATTTTAGAGCACAGCTCCTTAAGGTACCTGATGTCGGGGAATTGGCACATTTGGTTCATTGCCTGCAGCCCTTTCCTTTTTGGATGTTCACCAGCAGCTGATGGCTCCTGGATCAAGACCAATTTGAGTGCCACTGTTCCGGTGGAAACCAAAGAGACTAGTAAACAAACAATTACCTGCTAATAATTTGTAGAGGGGTATTATTATTATTATTATCATTATTATTATTATTACATTTTGAACTGGTATTTCACGCTTATTAAATCCAGTACTGAATAATTAAGGAGGTACTTTTTTAAAATGGGGGTTTCTAGAGGGAAATGAAGATAAAAGGCTCAGCATAAAACCATTCCACTAAATGGAATTCTCTGCATGGCTGTCTTTTGCTTTCCTCTGACTTCTCAGGTTTCAGAACAAGGGCTGATAGAAATACTTGAAAAAGTGAGTCAGCAAACTGAGAAGAAAACAACAGTAAAGGTAAGACATCTTTAAAGTAAGATGGTTTACAAATAGTACCAAATTGTATAGATGTATGAGCTACACCATAATTGATTTGATAAAAGGTTGCTGTGAGTTTTCCAGGCTGTATGGCCATGTTCCAGAAGCATTCTCTTCTGTCTTTTTGCTCACATCTATGGCAGGCATCCTCAGAGGTTCAGGGGTCTGTTAGAAGCTAGGCAAGTGGGGTTTATATATCTGTGGAATGTCCAGGGTGGGAGAAAGAACTCTTGTCTGCTTGAAGCAGGTGGGGGTGTTGCAATTGGCCACCTTGATTAGCATTTAATCTCCTTGCAGCTTCAAGTCTTGGCTGCTTCCTGCCTGGGGGAATCTTTTTTTGAGAGGTGATTAGCTGGCCCTGATTGTTTCTTGTCTGGAATTCCCCTGTTTTTGAGTGTTGTTCTTTCTTTACTGTCTTGATTCTAGAGGTTTTTTAAATACTGGTAGCCATATTTTGCTAATTTTCATGGTTTCCTCCTTTTTGTTGAGATTGTCCACATGCTTGTGGATTTCAGTGGCTTCTCTCTGTAGTCTGACATGTTAGTTGTTAGAGTGGTCCAGGATTTCTGTGTTCTCAAATAATATGCTGTGTCCAGGTTGGTCCATGAAGTGTTCTGCTATGGGTGACACAAATATATATAGATATGTCTAGATATGAATATATACAGGGCTTGCAAACATTGCAGGGGAAATGTGCGCGCGCACACACATATAGAAGAGCGGGAGGGCGAGGGGACAGTTCCATCTTGTTTCCTGTGCTATGCTAATAATATAGTATAATATAATATACTGTATATACATATATTTATAATATTATAATGTAATACAATATAATGCTACTAATATAATTAAATATTTTATATTACATGTCATATTAATAATATTACAATATGTTATAGTACAATATAGTAATATATAATACTGATATTGTACTATGCAATAATATAATATATTATATATATGTATATATCTTGTAAGCTGCTCTGAGTCCACTTCAGGGTGAGAAGGGCGGCATATAAATGTCATAAATAAATAAATATACAGATGTCTAGACCAGTCATTCTCACCCTATGGGTCCCCAAGTGTTTTCACCTACAACTCCCAGAAATCTCTGCCAGTTTACCAGCTGCCAGGATTTCTGGGAGTTGGAAGGCCAAAACATCTGGTGAGATATAAACATAGATATATAGGGCTTGCAAATATTGCAGGAGGGAAGGGAAACACACATAGAGAGAGGATTTGCAAAAGTTTCAGGGGAAATGCATAAGTGAAATTAGTATATATAATTATAGATCTATATGTAGCTCTGCATTGTTTATATAGGTATTGAATGTTATTACTATGTTGGAAGCTGGCCTCGTTGTCAAAGTGTCTTCACATGCTCTCAATTTTTCTTCCCCCAGTTCAACAGAAGAAAAGTATTGGATTCGGATGAGGAAGACTAATACATGAAATACAAAAAAATGGACATCCACCACAAATCATCTGGAACATGTCAAGGGAAGTGCGCCGTACCTGACATAGTTGCAGATGAAAGATTTACGCAAGTTTTTTCTGTACACATTTTTTATATAAAGGGAAAAGAAATGATCTCATGTTGTGGCTAATGAAATTAAGTGGAATGTTTTTTCTTAGGTAATTTTTGTATAATGGGCCGAGAGGCAAAGCTTGGTTTGTTCTTCTCTCAGGCTTCAGCTCTCCTTCGAGGCTGCCTGGGAGAGTCCGCTGTGCTGTTAGCGCCTGTTGGCGGCACAGTCGTCCTCCGTCAGGGAGTAAAAACAATTGCACTGCCGGCAGCCACAGGTTTTTGTAATCTTTGCGGACGTATCTGTGGGCTGGAGGGAGAACATTCATTTTGTATTTGTAAGCTGTGGAGGAAAAAGGTGCACAGATCAAATCCAATTCTACCACCAAATAATTAAAAAATATTGAAGTTATTAGCCTCTAATTCAAGTCCCATTCATTTCAAAGGGTCAGTTGTATATGGGGCTGAAATTGCATTTCGCTCACAAAATCCACAGTCTTTTAACTACATTTAAAGGATTAGGTGCTTGTTTTCCCATGCCATTTCTTCTGCTGACCTTAACTGTGGTTAACATGTGCCAGGATTTGCTGTCACTTTCTTAAACGGGTTTCAAAGTGATGGTTAATAGCAGAGCCTGGTTAATACGTCCCATCCTTCAAAAGAATCAGGCACAACATGAGAAGCTTGCAGATGAATCGGCTCCATAAAGAACACTTCTTGCAGCTTGCTGAAATTTTTTTCAAACCAAACCTGAGAAGTTGGTTGGCAAAACATGTTTGCATGATAGCGTATCTTGCTGGGTTGTTGGTTGTATTAGAATTTGGAAAAGTCTTGGCTAGCTCATCATGGAATTGAATTTATTAGATCTGCGGAGGAAAGTTTTGTTTGTTTTTACTTTGGTGCTTTTTTCTTCCTAAAGCAGTCAGGATGCTCCACGTATTGGGCACAGTACTCTAAAGTCAAAATTCTGAAAATCTGGTCTCAGCTTTCAGTAGATTGAAGCTTTGTGTCTAAATCTTCCACAGTAAAATCAATCAATTGCTTATCCATAGCTTGGTGGTGCACTGCTAAGTATCAATGCAACACAGTACTGTATAAATAAAACCCTTGTTTTCCCTCTGCCGACCTCCATTTTTGAAGTATACAGAAATGGATCAGAACGTTGCCCAAATCCTTACCTTTGTCTTACATGCATGATGCCATTGTAACGTGTGCCTTTTGTTGGAAAACGGAAGAAATGTTCAATCCATACACCGCATCACCATTGTATGTAAGATAGGATGTACAATTGGGAGAGGGTTGCTCCTTTTCTGGTTTGTGGACGTGATGTATATTTAACAAAAGCTTTGAAACTGGGATTAAAATCTTTCAAGAGAAAAAAAAGAGACTTGAGCAATTTCTTTGTTTTGTCTGAAAATTTTATGTGGATATTCTTCCTGTTTGCATTTGTCCATGGGTTGATGTTCACATCTGCAAACGATAGTTATGACCTGTTTAAGTGTAAAGTCCAACCCCCAAGCACCTTAAGATCGTCTGGAGAGACTCTGCTTTCGGTCCCGCCGCCATCACAATCATGTTTGGTGGGAAACGAGAGACGGGGCCTTTTCGGTGGTGGCCCCTTGGCTGTGGAACGCCCTTCCTAACGAGATTAGATCTGCCCCCTCCCTCATGACCTTCCAGAAAAAGCACAAACCCTGGTTATGGGGTCAAGTGTTCGCAGAATAGAAAGTTTTAATGGGCTGTTTTTAGTTGACGGCAATGGATTGAAGATATGATTTTAACAGACTATTTGAACTGACGGCTATGGATTGACTTGGAGGATGACATGAAATGGCGAATTGTTTTAATATATTTATAACTGTTTTTAATTTAGGTTAAACGTATTTTATGCTGTGTATTGTTTGGCACCGAACGGTATCTGCTGGTAGCTATCCTGAATCCCTCTTCGGAGGCGAAAAAAATGCTCTTAATAAATAATAATAATAACAATAATAATAATAATAAAACTTGTAAAGGAGCCCAAGGAAAATCAAGCATGCAGGCAGCCCCAAATTACAAATGACCCATAGTTAAGAACAGGGGTGAGACATCAAGAAGTGAGAGGAATTAACCCCCAGAAAGGGAAATTCACTCCTAGGAAAAAGGAGTCTCCACTGAAGTTTTATCCCCAATCCTTGTTTTCACATTAAGCCCATTTTTTTTCAAAATTCAATTCTCACAGAGATAGAAAGTAAGGGGAAATTTCCTAAATAGGGGCACAGGCAGCAAAACAAACACCACAGGACTCTTAACTAGCCTGTTACTCTTCCCTATGTTGTTCTAAGCATATAGACTCCTGGTGGCGCAGCGGGTTAAAGCACTGAGCTGCTGAACTTGCTGACCGAAAGGTCACAGGTTCTAATCCAGGGAGTGGCGTGAGCTGTTAGACCCAGCTTCTGCCTACCTAGCAGTTCAAAAGCATGCAAATATGAGTAGATGAATAGGTACTGCTTTGGCAGGAAGGTAACGGCGCTCCATGCAGTCATGCCGGCCACGTGACCTTGGAGGTGTCTAAGGACAATGCCGGCTCTTTGGCTTAGAAATAGAGATGAGCACCAACCCCCAACGTAGGTCATGACTGGACTTAATGTCGGGAAAACCTTTACCTAGGGCTGTTAACTCTTCCCTATGTTATTCTAAGCTTATACATATTTGTCTGGAGTCCCTGTTCTGGCTTACATATATATTCAAATTGAGAACAAACCTACAGAACCTATCTTGTTTGGAACTGTGCGACTGTTTGTATATCACTTTCATATTACTAGATGTGTGGTGTTGATACCAGGCAAGCTTACAACAGGCTTTAATAACAAGCCAACAAAATCACACTTTTTGTAATCATCAGAAATGAGAGTAGCACAGTTTAAATCATTTTTTTATACTGATTTTAAATGTCTTTGTTTTCCCCATCACATCAGCTTTTTAAATATGACGAATGGCGCATCATATTCGTCTAACACAAGTATTTTTCATCAGATATAATTTTAGATCATTCTTACAGAGTTTTTTGTGCTGAATTCAGATCTGTGTTTATTTTTTCTCTATTCCACGTAGTTTTTGTGATGTGGCTAAATGAATAATTAATGCATTCGTGTGTAAATGCATTAATTATTCAATTAGCCTCATTGCAAAAACTACACATGATAGAGAAAAAATAAACACAGATCTGAGTTCAGAGCAAAAACACTCTAAGAATGATGTAAAATTAGAGCTGATGAAAAATACTTGTTGGCTTGTGTAATATGCATTGAAAATCAGAAGTACCTGTCAACCTAAGTGAAACAATGACTTGCTGCAAATATGAAAGCCACACACTTAAAGAGCATAGATTTATTATTATTATTCCTTCCATCATTTGGCACAGATCCAAGGCACATAAGAAAATTAGATGAACTCAAGTACTTAGAAAAATATACCTATCCTCCTTCAAGAGTACGTTGGAGCTCTTCTTTGTGTCGAGTAAATTACTCTGTACAGCGAAATCTTGACAGACCATTCTCCATCCAAAATAGATTAACAGTTAAAAAAACCTGAAACGTTTGTATACAAATATTATATAAAAACTAATGTAAATTGACCAAAGTTAACTGTGCTCTTCAAGTGATAATTCAACCCCTTCTTAACCATGGAAAATTCAGAATAAAATTCCTAAAGCTCACGCCCCATTTCTAAAAGTGCACAACAGATTAATTTAGGAGGGTCTCTAAGTAAGGAGGAATGGAACAGCTTCTTAGTAAGTCCCATCTGATACAGGAAAAACTCCCTTTCGCTAGACTCCTTGCATTTAGAGGCATTGTTTTCTTGTGCATGAATATTTGCTATTTTATCTTGAACCGTAGCAGGCTAGAGCCATGAATTTCACAGTAGATGAATTTCAGAATCCCAGCCATGGCAGTTTAACAAAAGGAAAGAAAATTCTGTCTATTGGCCCCTAGCTCTTTACCAAGACAAACTATCCTTTGGGTTGGTTTTCCAGGCTGTATGGCCATGCTCCAGAAGCATTCTCTCCTGATGTTGTGAAGTCTGTTGGAAACCAGGAAAACTGGGTTTATATATCTGTGGAATGTCCAGGATGGGAGAAAGAACTCTTGTCTGTTTGAGGCAGGTGTGAATGTTGCCCTTGGTCACCTTGATTAGCATTGAATAGCCTGGCAGCTTCAAGGTCTGGCTGCTTCCTGCCTGGGTGAATCCCTTGTTGAGAGGTGATTCGCTGGCCCTGATTGTTTCTTGTCTGGAATTCCCCTTTTGAGTGTTGTTCTTTCTTTACTGTCCTGATTCTAATTTTTTTTAAAAATATATTGGTAGCCAGATTTTGTTCATTTTCATGGTTTTCTCCTTTCTGTTGAAATTGTCTGCAAAGATCCACCCAGTGGAAAATGTTCTTGCCATACATTAAGGGAACAACTGGAAGGTGATGAGGAAACACAACCCACAAACTATCTACAGACCCACTAAGAAAATCCAACAAATGCTACGTTCAGCAAAGGACAAGAGGGATCCTCTCACTTCTGCAGGAGTCTACCGTGTAACCATGCAGCTGTGGACAAGTCTACATAGGGACCGCCAAACGCAGCATTGCCCAAACACGAATCAAGGAACATGAAAGGCACTGCAGACTACTTCAACCAGAGAGGTCAGCCATAGCAGAGCACCTGATGAACCAACCTGGACACAGCATATTATTTGAAAACACAGAAATGCTGGACCACTCTGACAACCACCATGTCAGACTACACAGAGAAGCCATTCAAATCCACGAGCAAGTGGACAATTTCAACAGAAAGGTGGAAATTATGAAAATGAACAAAATCTGGCTACCAGTATTAAAAAAAACTCTAAAATCATAACAGTAAATAAAGAGCAACACTCAAAAACAGGGGAATTCCAGACCTCCCAACAAAAGATTCCATCAGGCAGTAAGAAGCCAGACCTTGGAACTGCAAGGCGATTAAATGCTAATCAAGGTGGCCAATTGCAACATTCACACCTGTCTCAAACAGACAAGAGTTCTTTCTTCTAACCTGAGTAGTCCACAGATATATAAACCCCATTTTCCTAGTTTCCAACAGACCTCACAACCTCTGAGGATGTCTGCCATAGATGCGGGTGAAACGTCAGGAGAGAATGCTTCTGGAACATGGCCAGACAGTCCAGGAAACTCACAGCAACCCAGTGATTCGAGCCATGAAAGCTTTCAACAAAACTATTCTTCATTAAAAGCAGTTATTGTAATCTCCAACATTGCAACAAAACCAAAGAAAATGAAGCAGACTGTGCAATCTTGCCATGTGCATCACACTTTATATACATCTCCCAACCGTGGAGTGCCCCAGAGCCTTCTGAGAATGTGTGAATTAGCAGCATCAAACCTGAAATCACTGCCTTTCCAAACTACAATATTTAGGTCCTTGGAAATTCTGTGGAATTCTTTGAATACACCTTCATGCTTTTGTGCTGAAACCCATTTGGAGTATTCAAGAATATAGGGACGTATCTGCACATCTGACAATCTCTCTTGATCAAGTGTGTTCACCTCGATTAACTCCCTGGATTTTGTGAATGTATCTGCAAGTAAAAGGATTTAATTTTCCAAAAGTGCAAATTCTGTTCGGATTGGAGACACTTCTTTCTCCAAAACTTCCTGATCCCGTTTTGAAAGCCTTAGTTCTAAGCATCTTTTAATTCTTCAATGCTGAGTGGAAAGAGAGTAAAAGCTGCTGTTGCACAAGTCTGTTACCTCTGGACATCTTTTTTTGCCTGGAGTTTTTGAAAATCTCAATCAGAGCAGCCTTCTAGTGAAGATACGCTTGGCTCTCTGGATCTGGACAGATCACTGATGTCGCTGACATCTGTTGCTGAAAGTGCCACGTTAACGGTGTGCCTCCGGTGCATGAGTTGACTTCTGTTGGGCGCTGCTGCCTCGTCAGTGGTGTTGTCTTCCCGGGTGGGTTCACGGCTGTTGCTGGCATCAGGGCTGTGAGGCCCACTTGGCTCTAAAGGATCCATGGACTTCAGCTTGCTCTGGTCAAAGCTCTTAATAGATAACAAGTTAGATGTTAGAACAAGTCTACCTGCTGCTTCAACATTAGACCATCCCCAAACAGGCTCTCCTTCAATACCGCCAACAAGAGAGAGCCCATCACTCCTCTAGCTCATTCATTGCAACACTTTACTGCTTTTGTCATATAAGATTCCTGTAATGTTCAGGGCTGGGCTTTAGCATGACTGGTAAATCACCAGCAATTATAAGACCTACCAATTGAAAGGTTGCCAGTTTGAAGCCCCGGGTCGGCGTGAGCAGCTGACTGTCAGCCCAGCCTAGCCCACTGTTTACCTAACAGTTCGAAAACAGCTTAAAGCTGTAAGTGGAGAAATTGGACACGTTAAAAAGCAAGGGAGGTAGTTTATGACACCATAAAAGAAAAAGATCCCAAAATGCCTGGTGACCAAAAGGAAGGAGGAAGTCCTGAATGCTCTTTGTCATAGATGATGGACGTGTCTCCACATCTGACAATATCTATTGATCAAGTGTGTTGATGAATAGCACCCCCCTGTGGCTGGATTTGAGCACAACCTCTAAGGCACCAAAAAGCTGGACGTCGACACAACATGCCTCATTTCTGTTCTGTATGTCTATGTCCTGTCTGTTCAAAACGGCATTGAATGTTTGCTTTGTATGTGTACTGCGATCCACCCTGAGACCCCTTGGGGAGAGAGGGCAGAATATAAATAGTTATAATGATTTGGTGAGAATTGACCCTCTCATTTGAGTATACTGTATGGATCTGCTCACCAAGTCTTTGTCCTCTTTTGTGATATTCCTTGATGCATTCAATAGTGAGATGCAACAAGAATGGTAGCCTCGGAGTGTGGTGGAGGCTTCTTTGGAGGCTTTTAAACAGGCTAGATGATGGCCATCTGTTTGGGGTGCTTTGATTGTGCTTTCCCTGCATGGCAGAAGGGGGTTGGACTGGATGATCCTTGTGGTTTCTCCCAACTCTATGAATGCAAGTTGTTTCTAATATCCTTATGCTGTTGCTTGGAGGACCAGAAGCTACTCCCAGCCCTTCACTTCCTTGTGTACTGGGGAAAGTAGGGGCAACCTGTGACCCTAGTATCAGGATGTGCCTTCCTCCCTGGGTTAACCCACATAGCTGTCAGAAATATTAAAAAATAACTACGTATGTTTAATTACAAACATTTAAGTCAAACACTGAAAGGGTTAAATGGATGCAATACTTCAGCAAAAGCTGTGGTTTTATATAAGCAGATGTGCCTGTAGCTTAGTAGGCCTCAGTGTTAGTTTGCCTCAGTGTGAGAGAGGCATCAGTCTGAGGAAGCCCTCAGAAGTATAAAGAACTTTATTTGTGTTATGGAAACCTTGAGAAGTAAGGAAACAACTCTCAGGTTCCATTTCACTTTCTGCCCAAAACTTCATGTCACATCCTAGTCATCTAATAACGAGCTAAAATTTATATAAACTGGCAGAATTCAATTTCAAAATTAAAATAAAAACGCTTCACTTCTAAGTGTTCCTTCCTACCTGGTGCAGTAGTTCACCACCAAAGTTAGGGATACTTTTGTCTCTTGTTATAGTCTTCCGCAGGTCTTTTGACCTAAAAAGAAGAAGAAAGAAACAAGATGGAAATAGAACATTAGGTTTCAATGCATCTCTCTGGGTACATCGGTGCCTTCCAGCCAACCACTAGTTGGCAGTATGTGAAAGACAACAGCAATTGATCATATAGGCTGAGTATCCCTAATCCAAAGTTCCTGGGACCAGAAGTGTTTTGTATTTTGTATTTTATTTTTCAGATTTTCAGGTTTTTCAGAACTGTATTAAGGAGTCACAGCATTAGGAAGGTTGAGAACTACTGCTGTAAATGATGTGGCTGTAAAGAATTCAGAGCTTAGAAGGCAAAATACAAAGTCCAATCTTTAAAAAAAATCACAAAATATTTATTTGCAGTAATAAGAAATCACTGCATTTCTTAATAACCAAGAACTGGGTCTGAGCTACTCTAACACCCATCTCTTCTAAGGTTTCAAAGAGGGGGGAAACACCAATCACTACATCTCTCTGACACACAAGCAGAGAGAGATCTCAAAGCACACCACATACTCTCCATACTAAAGTGTAAAAAGGCAGAAGTCAAATTCAAGAGTTTGCAGTGGTTTTAAACAACCAATCAGAATGAGAGCAGAAACAGAGAGAGAAAATTAGATACATTCCCAATTGTCATACAGGAGACATGGGGGAAGGGAAACCCTTAGACTATACTATCTATACTATACTATATTATATATAATACTACTATTAATAATAATATGATATAATTATATATTTATATTACATGTAATATTACTAATAATATTACTATATAATGGTATAGTACAATATAGTAATATTTAATACTGATATTGTACTATGCTAATAATATAATATATTATATGTATATGTATCTTGTAAGCTGCTCTGAGTCCCTTTCGGGGTGAGAAGGGTGGCATATAAATGTCGTAAATAAATAATATTTAACTAACTAAACTCTTCTTCATTGAGGACTTGAGGCTTAGGCAGTGTGGGTTTGAATCCTAACAAAGAGTACTTCACAAGGAGAACTTACTTGTCAAATCGATTAATCGACTGGAAAAGCTGAAGGCGCCGGGTGACCAGATCATCTTCCATCTCAGGAGACGTAAAGCCGACTGCAGGTTTAAGTAACAATTTTGAATTAAGAATGAAAACTACTGTAAGTTCCTCCTTGATTTAAAAAGGATGTCCAAATTGTAGACAAAGACAGGCCAACTTTAGCCTTCCAGGTGTTTTGGACTTCAACTCCCACAATTCCTAACAGCTACATGAGCAAACATGTTGGATCTCAGGTAGTTTCTCCCTTTTTGGAGCAATTAAGATAATTACATAGGTAAAGGTAAAGGTTTCCCCTCGACATTAAGTCCAGTTGAGTCCGACTCTGGGGGTTGGTGCTCATCTCCATTTCTAAGCCAAAGAGCCAGCATTATCCGTAGACGCCTCCAGGGTTATGTGGCCAGCATGACTGCATAGAGTGCTGTTACCTTCCCACCAAAGCAGCACCTACTGATCTAACCACATTTGCATGTTTTCAAACTGCAAACAGGAGCTCACCCCATCCTACAGATTCAAACCGCCGACCTTCTGGTCAGCAAGTTCTGCAGCTTAGCGGTTTAACCCACTGCGCCACCGCAGCCCCCCAATAAATACATACAATTGTGTTAATTATCTCAATGGGATTATTAAAGGCAAGTCAAGACCTTGTCCAAACCAGATAATTTCACCAGATTTTGTGCTTCAAAATTCAGACATAATTTCAGCACAGATACTATTCATTCCTATTGACACTATAGGAAGAAAACCCATATTTAGGTTCTTTCTAGGACTATGGGCACCAACTCGTTCTGGGTTTGCTTCTGCTCTCCAAAGCGCAGCACTCACTTTTTCTCCTGATCTTTCCAGACGTGTAAGTTTTATAATCTGCTTGCCTTCCCTCTCCTGAGGTCGCTGCAGTATAAAGCATCTTGAGAATAGCAGATTTCTTTAAACAGTGGGACAAAGAAGAGAAAAGCAGGGGTTAGTTCTCATTAAATTTTAAAATATGTAGTAATGTTTAAACCAGGGGTCCTCAAACTAAAGCCCGGGCTGGATACGGCCCTCCAAGGTCATTTACCGGCCCCTGCTCAGGTTCAACCTAAGTCTGAAAGCACACAATAACAACAATCCTATCTCATCAATCAAAAGCAGGCCCACACTTCCCATTAAAATTCTAATAAGTTTATATTTGTTAAAATTGTTCTTCATTTTAATTATTGTATTGTTTTAAGCATTTTTGCACTACAAATAAGACATGCGCAGTGCGCATAGGAATTCATTTATGTGTTTTTAAATTATAATCCGGCCCTCCAACAGTTTGAGGGACTATGACCTGGCCCTCTGTTTAAAAAGTTTGTGGACCTCTGGTTTAAACCTTTGATATAAAAGGGACAAAAGGAGAGGTGAATAGTATACAGCACATGTTTGGTATGTAAAAGCTCCAAAGTTTAAATCCCTAGCATCTCCAGGGAAATGCCTGATCTTTACTGCTAGCACATAAAGGGGATATTTTTTCATGTCAGGAGCAACTTGTGGGAGAATTGGCCATCTGCAAGGACATTGCCTTGGAGATGCCCAGATGTTTTGATGTTTTACTATCCTTGTGGAAGGCTTCTCTCATGTCCCCGCATGGGGAGCTGGAGCTGACAGAGGAAGCTCATCCGTGCTGTCCCCAAATTCAACCTGTCAGTCTTCAGTCCTGCCGGCACAAGGATTTAACCCATTGCGCTACACAAAAAGGATGCCATTACCAAATATTTATTTGCCAATACTGGCAGGCTTTCCTATAGTTACAAATACAAAGGCTTACATGGCAATTGTACCCCAGGTGATAAATCACACTCATTTCCTGTAACAGCAGTGAGAGAAAGGTACTATGGGAGGTTATTCCAGAGTTGGGGAGCCACTACAGAGAAGGCCCTCTCTCTCTTGTCACCACCAACTGCGCTTGAGACAGTTTACAGCCCGCAACAGATGTTTCAGGATTTTAAAACATGCACACGCACCAAGGCACTCCACAAACAAAATCACATGTTTTCCATGGCTACAGGGATAAACAGTCATGAAAATACGTGCATATGTGAGAAGACACCCTCAATGGAAAACAGTTGTCCGTCCTGGAGTAAAGATGGTAGATCAGGCCTGGGCAAACTTGAGCCCTCCAGGTGTTTTGGACTTCAACTCCCACAATTCCTAACAGCCGATAGGCTGTTAGGAATTGTGGGAGTTGAAGTCCAAAACACCTGGAGGGCCCAAGTTTGCCCAGGCCTGGTCTAAAGGTTGGGAGGTTTCCTGTCACCCCAAGATAGGTGCAGCCTGTGATACTTCAAGGCACCAATGTGTCACTTACGGGCTCAGCATAGTCAAGAGGTGTGCACTGCTTGTCGTTCCTAATGTGGGTCGATGCTCCGTGTTGCAACAGCAGCTGAACCACGGCTTCATTGTTCCCAATCACAGCTGTATGGAGGGATGTATTGCCTTGGTTATTGGAAAGGTTAACCAAGGCCCCATGCTGGAAAAGGGAAGGAAAGGGAGGAAAGAAGGCATATATAGGCACAGGGCAAGACTGAAGGGAAGCAACACACAGTCGTTTTGACAATAACAACGCAGCCCAGTGAATTAGGGCTACAGGCTTGAACTGGAAAATGAAGCTTCTTTGGCCTTAAGCACTATAGCTGTGCAGTATCAAAGGTGTGTTGAGTAGCTCTTGCAAAAAAATTCACAGAACAGTGCTAGTGTCAAGTTCCCTCTTCCAGTTCTTAAGATTCAATCACAGGGGGAAACTTAGCTGCTCTGGATCCAAGACGCTTTCTTTTGGCAGGAAAATGCCGCCATGAGAATAAATCCTTCCAATATCCCTTATGGAAGAGTTTCTCAACTTGGGGGTCAGGAACCGGGGGAGGGGGGGTCGAGGGGGGTGTCCAAATCCATAGCCATTTGGGTTCACAGTGTTCTCTGGAGGTAGGTGAACTACAGCTTCCCTAAATTATTGTCAATTCTTCTCAAATCCCTCCAGTATTTTGTTGGTCATGGGGGGTCTGTGTGAGCATGCTTGCTTGCATTAAATACAGTTCCCCAAATCTCCAATAGTGAAGGTAAAGGTTTTCCCCTTGACATTAAGTCATGTTCAACTCTCTGGGTTGGTGCTTATCTCCATTTCTAAGCCGAAGAGCTGGTGTTGCCCATAGACACCTCCAAAGTCATGTGGCCAGCATGACTGCATGGAGCGCCTTCCCACCAGAGTGGTACCTATTGATCTACTCACATTTGCATGTTCGAACTGCTAGGTTGGCAGAAGCTGGAGCTAACAGTGGGAGCTCACGCCGCTCCCTGGATTTGAACCTGCGATCTTTCGGTCAACAAGTTCAGCAGCTCAGCGGTTTAACCCACTACACCATTACAGTATTGATTACCGTGCCAAGTTTGGGCCAGATCCATCATTGTTTGAGTCCACAGTGCTCTCTGATTGGTGAACTACAACTCCAAAACTCAAGGTCAGTGCCCACCAAATCTTCCAATATTTTCTGTTGGTCATGGGAGTTCTGTGTGCAAGTTTGGTTCAATTCCATCGTTGGTGGAGTTCAGAATGCCCTTTGATTGTAGGTGAACTATACATCCCAGCAACTACAACTCTCAAATGTCAAGGTCTATTTTCCCCAAACCCCACCAGTGTTTGCATTTGGGCATATTGAGTATGTGTACCAAATTTGGTCCTGATCCATCATTATTTGAGTCCACAGTGCTCTCTGGATGTAGGTGAACTGCAACTCCAAAACTCAAGGTCAGTGCTCACCAAACCCTTCCAGTATTTTCTGTTGGTCATGGGAGTTCTGTGTGCCAAGTTGGGTTCAATTCCATCGTTTGTGGAGTTCAGAATGCTCTTTGATTGTAGGCGAACCCTAATATATCCCAGCAACTACAACTCCTAAATGATAAAATCAATCTCCCTCAACCCACCAGTATTCAAATTTGGGCGTATTGGGGATTTGTGCCAAATTTGGTCCAGTGAATGAAAATACATCCTGCATATCAGATATTTACATTGAAATTCATATTTGGCTCAATTTCCATCGTTGATGAAGTAGCAAGGAAAATAATTTGATGGTTGGGGGTTCATCACAACATGAGGAACTGTATTAAGGGGTCGCGCCATTAGGAAGGTTGAGAAACACTGCCTTATGGCATCTCTGCTTCTCTTAAATGGATTCAGCAAACATAAAGAGTTAGAATAACCAGAGAAGCATATGAATTTTCAATTAAAGTACATCCAATCGTAAATTGCCTGTTTTTGTCAGGGCTCTTTGCCCATCCTGCCATCTCGAGATTACTGGAAATGAACAATATATGCTGCAAGTAAAAGGAAAAGGTATCTGACAATCTCTCACCTGTATCAAAAAGGCCACTATCTCTTGATAATTGTTCAAGCAAGCGTACATCAAGGGAGTATTTCCAAGAATGTCCTTTTTATTTTGTTTAGCATGGTTATCTATCAGAGACTTTACTACCTTTTGAATGAAAAAAAAGAAAAATATTACCCTTTCATTTTTGGGAAGAAGCAACACACACAAAAACAGAGAATCAACACGGTAATTCAGAATTTAAAGACAGATAAATCTCCAGGCCCAGATGGCTACACAGCAACATAGTATAAGATGATGAAAGATGAAATAACACCGATACTACAAAAAATAATGAATTCTGTACTGGAAACAAATCAAATACCAGAGACGTGGAAAGAGGCCAACATTATTATCCTAATCCCCAAAGAAAATCAAGATGAAAAATGGGTTCAAAATTGCAGGCCTATCTCATTGCTAAATACAGATTATAAAATATTCACACAAATATTGGCAAATAGGCTAAAAACAACAATTGGATCAAATCTGATCAAGCAGGCTTTCTACCTGGAAGACAAATTAAAGATAATACAAGGGTAATCCTAAATATAATTGAACACATTCAAAAAGCAAAAGTTAAAAAGGGGGCTAAAAAGGCCTTCAAGTGACTAAACTGGAATTTCATTATAGAACCATTGAAGAACTTAAAATACGGTGAAAAATTTATTGAAAAAAGAGAATTACAAGTTTTTGACTTCACACTGTAGTTAATAATTTAATGTATTGTGAAATACAGATAAATGCACTTATACACACAGCTTCAGTCAAAGGATTTCAGGCCTGACTGAAGTATACAGAAAGGTTAATGATAATGATGATTATGATGGTGGTGGTGATGATGTATTGTCAGAGGCGTTTATGACTGAACTCACTGGGTTGATGTGAGTTTTCACCTCACAACCTTTGAGAATGTCTGCCATAGATGCAGGCAAAACATCAGGAGAGAATGCTTCTGGAACACGGTCAGACAGCCCAGAAAACTCACAACAACCCAATAATAATAATAATAATAATAATAATAATAATAATAATAATTTTATTTTATTTGTACCTCACCACCATCTCCCTGAAGGGTGGCTAATGCAATCTGTCACACTGAAAATGGATTAAAGAACATTTTTAAGGTTCACGAAGTATTCATGATAGCGTGCAAAGTAAAATGAACTTACCTCTAAGTGGCCATTCTGGCAGGCTAGGTGAAGAGGCACTGCATGGCTGGCATCTTTTGCCCCAACATCAGCCCCACGTTTCAGCAAGAGAGCGACTAAGTCAGCATGTCCATAAAGCGCAGCGACATGGAGCGGCGTTTGGGCATCTTGGTTTGTAACATCCACACCAAGGCCACTCGTGGGTGATCTGAAGAATTTCTGTTGGGAGAAATAAAAGGGAATCCAAAGGAAATCAAGGACTGAAAAAAGCAAAACATGCAGGCTACTATCCTGCAGCAGCTACTGATCAGAATGATGCAACTGAGAATGTGAAGACATTATTACAATTCCAGCTAATGTGCGGCATAGTGCTGAAAACCCCTTTTACACCATATACTGCCATGTACTAACAGCTTCAATTACAGTAACAGCATAATAATCCTAACTACATGTCCGAACGCATCTCCCCTTATGAACCATCTAGGACCTTAAGATTGTCTGGGGAGGCCCTGCTCTCGTTCCGCCTTCGTCACAAGTATGTTTGGTGGAGACGAGAGACAGGGCCTTCTCGGTGGTGGCCCCTCGGCTGTGGAATACCCTCCCTATAGATATTAGATCAGCCACCTCTCTTTTAACATTCCGGAAAAAAGTCAAGACATGACTTTTTGAACAAAAGTTTGCAAATGCAGAGTAACTGACAGGAAAATTGAATGACTAGGGGTCCACAAACTTTTTAAACAGAAGGCCAGGTCACAGTCCCTCAAACTGTTGGATGGCCGGATTATAATTGGAAAAAAACATGAATTCCTATGCATGTTGCACATATCTTATTTGTAGTGTAAAAAACACTTTAAAACAATACAATAATTAAAATGAGGAACAATGTTAACAAATATAAACTTATTAGTATTTCAATGGGAAATGTGGGCCTGCTTTTGGCTGATGAGATAGGATTGTTGTTGTTGTTATGTGCTTTCAAGTAGTTTCAGACTTAGGTTGACCCTGAGCGAGGGCCGGGTAAATGACCTTGGAGGGCCGTATCCAGCCCCTGGGTCTTAGTTTGAGGACCCATGGACTAGACAATGAGTCTGGACATTTTTAACAAGGAGATACTATGAATTTATATTTTATTGTTTTGCTTAGTTTTTATTATATGTTATGTTTTTCATTGTATTTATGCTGGTCGCTTCTCCAGCTCATCCCCTGTTTGGGTATCAGCCAGCACGTCAACGACTTAAATCTAGACATAGTTTTCTAAGATCTACAGAGATACTCGCTGGAACACCTCAGCAAGTGAGAGTCCAAAAGTGGCAGGCTCAAACCCAGAACCTCAACCAATGGCTGATACCAAATGAGAGACTCCCCTGGGCACACAGAGGACTGGGCAACTTGGAAGGCGCTGAACAGACTGCGCTCTGGCACCACGAGATGCAGAGCCAACCTTCAGAAATGGGGCTACAAAGTGGAATCCTCGACATGCGAGTGTGGAGAAGAGCAAACCACTGACCACCTGCTGCAATGCAACCTAGCCCTGCCACATGCACAATGGAGGACCTTCTTGCAGCAACACCAGAAGCACTCCAAGTGGCCTGATACTGGTCAAAGGACATTTAATCAACTACCAAACTCACAAATTTTGTATTTTGTCTGTTTGTTTGCTTTGTTCTGTTAGAAATGTAATATAATTTGACTGTGTTGCCCTGACACGACAAATAAATAAATTGTATTTATGACATTGTAAGCATTGAATTTTGCCCTGTTAACTGCCTTGAGTCTCCTACGGGCTGAGAAAGGTGGTATACAAATACAGCAAATAAATAAACAAACAAACAAACTATATAACACAACCTGTATTATCATTTCAGGATCAGGAGTGGCAAAGTTCTAAGGGATTTCTTCCTAGTTTGCATGACTAAGAGCAATACAATACTAGACTTAACCTTTGAAAAAGGTAGGTAGGTGAGAAATGCTACAAGCTGCCCTTCTGGCCAAGATTTTCTATCTCTGCTCCCTTTCTTTACACAGTAAAATTAGCATCCTGACCCTGCTGTTACTCAATCCTTCCAACAGCCTGATTAGCCAGAAGAGTAACGTCATCCCACCAGGTCATGAACCCTATTAAGGGCGAGGGCATCTTTAAGAGCAGTGCCCAGTTAATCACAGGGCTTTGGCAAGCAAAGAGAGAGAGAGGAAGAGAGTTGGTTTGAGCTATTTGGATGCCTGTAGCAGAAGACCTTTGATGGACAGAAGCTAAGAAGGCGGGCAGCTAAAGCTTACTTCCGCAGAGACAATGGAAGAGTGTTTCTCTCCATAACTGGGGAAGCAGCCCAGCTTAGAGGGTCCAGGAGAAGTTCTGGAACTCTATCCTCCAACCAAGAGAAAGCACTAAAGCAGAGCTTTCCAAACATTTCACTTTGGCAACACACTTTTTACACATGCATCATTTTGCAACACAGGTTTTTTTTCATGTCAGGAGCAACTTGAGAAACTGCAGGTTGCTTCTGGTGTGAGAGAATTGGCTGTCTGCAAGGATGTTGCCCAGGGGATGCCTGGATGTTTTACTATCCTATAGGGGCTTCTCTCATGTTCCCGAATAGGAAGCTGGAGCTAACAAATGGGAGCTCAGCCCACTCCCCAGATTAGAACTGCTGAGCTTTCGGTCAGCAATTTAGCCAGCACAAGGGTTTAACCCATTGCTCCACCGGGAGCTCCACAACACAGTAATTTAAAGTTACTGTCATTGAACATCAAGAAAACCAAAGTGCTCTTCCAGCAGTAGCCAGCCAACCCCTCTCCAATACCAGAAATACAGCTTAATGGTATAACATTAGAAAATGTTGACCATTTCCGCTCCCTTGGCAGCCACCTCTCCACAAAAGTCAGGATTGACACTGAAATTCAACACCACCTGAGCTCTGCAAGTGCAGCATTTTTCCGAATGAAGCAGAGAGTGTTTGAGGACTGGGACATCCTTAGGGATACCAAGGTGCTTGTTTATAAAGCTATTGTCCTCCCAACCCTGCTATATGCCCAAGAAACGTGGACTGTCTACAGACGTCACATGCAACTCCTGGAATGATTCCATTTGCCTCCGGAAAATCCTGCAAATCTCTTGGGAAGACAGGCAGAGAAATGTCAGCGTGCTGGAAGAAGCAAAGACCATCAGCACTGAAACGATGGTCCTCCGCCATCAACTCCACTGGACCGGCCATGCAAATGTGAGTCGATCAATAGGCACCGCTTAGGCGGGAAAGTAACTGTGCTCCTTGCAGTTATGCCAGCCACATGACCTTGGAGGTGTCTAGAGACAATGCCGGCTCTTTGGTTTAGCAATGGAGATGAGCACCAACCCCCAGAGTCGGACACGACTGGACTTGATGTCAGGGGAAAACCTTTACCTATATTGTAGTATATCACAGCAGAGCGATGGTCCTCCGCCATCAACTCCTCTGGACCGGCCACGTTGTCCGGATGCCTGACCACCGTCTCCCAAAGCAGTTGCTCTACTCCGAACTCAAGAATGGAAAACGGAATGTTGGTGGGCAGGAAAAGAGATTGAAAGATGGGCTCAAAGCCAACCTTAAAATCTCTGGCATAGACACTGAGAACTGGGAAGCCCTGGCCCTTGAGCGCTCCAGCTGGAGGTCAGCTGTGACCAGCAGTGCTGTAGAATTTGAAGAGGCACGAATGGAGGGTGAAAGAGAGAAACGTGCCAAGAGGAAGGCGTGTCAAGCCAACCCAACTGGGACCACCTCCCACCTGGAAACCAATGCCCTCACTGCAGGAGAACATGCAGATCAAGAATAGGGCTCCACAGTCACCTATGGACCCACCAGAATGCTGACCTTGGAAGACCATCCTACTCGGACATTGAGGGATCACCTAAGTAAGTAAGTAAAATTACTAGCAGATCTAACCCTTATACCAGCGGTACTGGTAACTGTATTAAAGGGTTGTGGCATTAAGAAGGTTGAGAATCACTGCCTTACACAAAACACATACATAAATTGTAATGATAAAATGTATGGGGACACAACATACATCATGAAAACTTTTTATTTCTATTTTTAAAAACTTGATTTGTAATATAACAACATACATTTCCAAGATTTCTATTATTTTCGCCACTATGTTCTGCCCTGCCTGGAACCACGAGGAGAGGAAGAAATACAACTATTATGATTACTACTACTATTACTATTTCTTGTTATGTTTGTGCAGCACACCTACACACAGCAGCTGACATACTAAAGTGTTGCAATACACAGAGTGAAAAGCTCTGGACTAAAACATTCAAGACAAACTTCTAGAAAACTTGTCATCTCCCTTCTCAGGCAATGGCTTGACCTGCCTAATGGGAAGGTTGGCCCCAAGAGAGGGTGAATCAGGTGGGATAACCAACTCACCTTTTGTGCCAGACCGCACTGGGAGCACTGGCACAACGGATGACAAAACTCTTGTTTCTCTGCTCTGTCTCCTTCTTCTGTGTCTTCTAGATCCTCTTCTGCCCATTCCAAAAGATAACGTACCTAGAACAAACACACAGGGATCAGACATGAGAAGGGGAGACAAAAATGAAGGCTAAAAATGTGAGATTTCCAGGTGTGGGAATATCCCGGATCTGAGCCAAAAAATTACATCTTTGAATGTCTTTATGTCACTGCAATTGGAAATCACAGGATTTTTATCTGGGTTTATTCCTGGGTTTTAGATTGTTCCGGATTGGTCGGTTCCTAAAAAAAAGGTGACACTTGAGTAGAAGGCAAAAATTTTTGTTTGTGTGCCAGAAACTTCATGAAACATGTGAAGGGCACATTTTTTCTGGTCAGGACAAAGTTGTGCCCCCCTAGTCAATGTTGTACATCTTTTCAAAAGAAAAGCAATCAGGAACAGCCATGTTTAACCCAGGAACAGCATCCTATTGTTTGATGCCACAAGCACACAAACAAATCTGTCTGGACAGATGGCCAGGTAGCCAGGCTCTAAAAAGTGCCTACAATGATATTCTGTTCCTGGCTTGGGAGTGTGTGTTCCTGTTTGATTGTGCAGTGTTGACTTGGGCAAAAGTGTCCTATCCCGTAAATTTTGTTTGTATGGCAGATACTTCATGAAACGCCTGGAGGGCACAGTTTCTCTGGCCAGGACGAAGAATGGAAATTATGCAGTGATTTGTTGCAGTGATTCTCCGAATATCCGCATCTTGAGGTTTTTTTAAATAACCATCAAAGTTTCCGTCGGAAGTCCCATGGTATCATCTTGGGAGCCTCTAAATTTCACAACAAAGCATGAAGTCTGGACAACGGAGGCAGAAATCCCAAGACCAACAGGTCTGTATGTAGACCCCCTTCTGAAGTCCCGGGATTTTTGCCCCTATTTAAAACCCATGATTTAGTGCTGTCTGGAAGCACCCTCAGAAGAGAGAAGACATTGCTTCAGAACCTGGTGCTCTCAAGATGCAACTGTGCTATAAATCCTATAATCTGGATTTGGAAGGCACTAAGACTGGAAACGATGGTTTCAGATATGGGTTTTATTTATTTATTTAAAGTATTTATATTCCACCTTTCTCACCCCGCAGGGGACTCAGGGCGGATTACAATGTACATATACATGGCAAACATTCAATGCCATAGACACACAACATATATAGACAGACACAGAGGCTATTTAACATTCCAGCTTTTTCATGAGGGGATTCTGACCACCAGGGGAGCTGTCGCTTCACTGTACATTTGTGACACTGATGAAGTACTTCCTCATTCTTTGCATGCTTGCTGGAGATTTTTGTAAATTAGTTAAATTAGCCTCCCGCATAAGTGGTACCTAAATTTCCTACTTGACAGATGCAACTGTCTTTCGGGCTGGAAAGGTCGACAGCAAGCTACACAAATTGGTCGGAAGCTCACTCCAACCTGGGCTGGCTTCGAACTCATGATTTTTAGTCAGTAGTGATCTTAATGTAGCTGCCTTCCAAGCCAGCTGTGCCACAGGCAGGTTTGGAAGGAGAAAGAAGCCAGACATTGCCATTTTCCATTTCCAACTTTCAGCTGTCTTCCTACTTTGGTTGGGCGATTTGGGAGTTGTAAGCCAAACATTTCACCTTTCCAAGCTCTGGAAAGTCCAGGCTGGTAGACCAGGCAAATAATGTTGTTTTAGGTCAGGCATGGGCCAACTTCAGCCCTCTCTCCAGGTGTTTGGGACTTCAACTACAATTTTAACAGTCTACCAGATCTTAGGAATTATTGTAGAAGTTGAAGTCCAAAACACCTGGAGGGAGGGCCAAAATTGGCCTACACCTGCTTTAGATCCAAAACTAGGACTCAAACGCAACCACAGGCAGAGAAAAAAAGACTGATTTCTCCTTAAACTTTTTATTTCTATTCAATTCCGTGTTTGCTACATGTCCTTGAGCAAAGGCAAACTGACAAAGCAGGCTTGCCCCAGAGGAAACACCCTGCACTTTGAATGCATGCCTTAGCAGAAATTAAACATGCCCTCTCAAAACATGTCCTTGAGCAAAGCCAAACTGACAAAGCAGGCTTGCCCCAGAGGACACACCCTGCACTTTGAATGCATGCCTTAGCAGAAATTAAACATGCCCTCTCAAAACTATCTGCGTCCAATCAAAGGGGATTAACCGGGGATTTTGGTCAAAAGGTTAGGTGCACTTTAAAATAGGTGCACATGTTAAGTATCTAATGAAGCCATTATAATCCGTCTCATCAATTACTGCATGTCACTTGGCATCTTCCTTACAGTGTTTCTCAATGTTCCTAATGGGCCCTTAATACAGTTCCTCATGTTGTGGTGACCCCCAACCATAAAATTATTTTCGTTGCTACTTCATAACTGTAACTTTGCTACTGTTATGAATCAAATGTAAATATCTGATATGCAGGATGTATTTTCATTCACTGGACCAAATTTGGCACAAATACCCAATACCCCCAAATTTGAATATTGGTGGGGTTGGGGGTGATTGATTTTGTCATTTGGGGTTGTAGTTGCTGGGATTTATAGTTCACCTATACTCAACATTCTGAACTCCACCAACAATGGAATTGAACCAAACTTGGCACACAGAACTCCCCTGACCAACAGAAAATACTGGAAGTTTGGTGGGCATTGACCTTGAGTTTTGGAGTTGTAGTTCACCTACATCCAGAGAGCACTGTGGACTCAAACAATGATAGATCTGGACCAAACTTGGCAAGAAAACTCAATATGCCCAAATGTAAACACTGGTCAAGTTTGGGAAAAATAAACCTTGACATTTGGGAGTTGTAGTTTCTGGGATTTATAGTTCACCTACAATCAAAGTGCATTCTGAACTCCACCAATGATGGAATTGAACCAAATTTGGCACACAGAACTCCCATGACCAACAGAAAATACTGTGTTTTCTGATGGTCTTTGGCAATCCCCTGACACCACCTCATGACCCCCAGGTTGAGAAACACTGAACTAAAAAAAAGCCAACTTTAACAGAGGCCATACACTTTACTTTTGACTACAATTCTGAGCAAAGATTCTCCTACTCATCCCTCCTGTCCTCACTTTTCAGTGATAAAAGGGAAACTTAAAGAGCACTTGGCTTCTTTTCATAACCATCATCCAATCACTTGGCCCTTTGTTTTGTTTAGGGCCCTGGAGTTCTGAAAAGTAAGAATGTAGTCTCTTCAGGAACTTAAAAAGATGCAACCTTTATCCTGTAGTTTTTTTCCCTGTTCAAGGCTGGTAGTCCAGGCAAATAATGGAAATAATAGAAAATCTGGAGTTGACCATGCATACTGAGTACATCCTAACAGACCCAGGTCAAAGAATGGATTTGATACCATTGGCTGGAGCTAAAGAGAAAGTAACTGATCAAGGAAGCAACTGTAGCTCAAGAGCTTCTGGTAGATCTCTTGTAGAGACACGTATCACGGCAGAGTGTGCAACCATGCCAATCCTTGGATGGTTACTGTTGCTGCTATGTGCCTTCAAGGCATTTCTGACTTACACTGACCCTAAGGCAGGCATGGGCTAACTTTGGCCCTCCTTCCAGGTGTTTTGGACTTCAACGTCCACAATAATTCCTAAGACTTGGTAGGCTGTTAGGGATTGTGGGAGCTGAAGTCCCAAACACCTGGAGGGAGGGCCAAAGGTGGTCCTGGTCTGGCCTACAGGCTTCCTTTAGACATTGTGTCAAATCACAGTTTGTCCTTCTAATCATACAGCAAAGCAGGCTTTCCATCTATCCAGCACTTCTGTTACTAAGTACAGTCACTTCCCGAATGGAGCAACAACTATTATAGGTGTTTTTTCCCCCCAGTCTGAACATCATGCCAATCTTTGTTTGTTTCCGATTTCTATTTACACTGTGGTTTCTGATTCCAACTCATCAGCTCACTGGCCTTATCAGAACCACACTTTTGCAATCTTTTGTATGGATTGTTGTAGGTTTTTTTGGGCTATATGGCCATGTTCTAGAGGCATTCTCTCCTGATGTTTCGCCTGCATCTATGGCAAGCATCCTCAGAGGTTGTGAGGTCTTCTGAGGATGCTTGCCATAGATGCAGGTGAAACATCAGGAGAGAATGCCTCTAGAACATGGCCATATAGCCCGAAATAAGCTACAACAACCCAGTGATTCCAGCCATGAAAGCCTTCGACAATACAATCTTTTGTATTTTTTTTAAAAAAGGAAAACATCTGTTCATCAAACACACCGCAGTATAATTTACAGTGCTGTTCACTGTGTTCTGCCACAATTCTAAAAGGATTCTGAAGAAAATAATAAAATGACTATGACAGTTTCTGAAGTCACTGTGACAGAAAATAATGCAAATTATAGGATGGGAGCAGCTATGTTTGTATTGCCACATGGAAAGTCAGATATTTAAAAATTCAAAACACACTCAATTGCTTTTCATTTCTGTAAATCCTTTTCTGAATTTGTTGGCAGCATAAAGTCAGCTCTGAGCTGATACTATTATTATACAACTGCAAGGATGCCGTGCACCACTTCTGATGAACATTTTTGTTCCTGGAAATGAAGGCCTAAATACAACACATAAAAGGTAAAGGTTTCCCCTGACATTAAGTCTAGTCATGTCCGACTCTGGGGGGTGGTGCTCATTTCTAAGCTGAAGAGCCGGCGTTGTCCATAGATACCTCCAAGGTCATGTGACTGGCATGATTACATGGAACACCATTATCTTCCTGCAGAAGTGGTACCTATTGATCTAAGTACATTTGCATGTTTTCAAACTGCTAGGTTGGCAGAAGCTGGGCCTAACAGCAGAAGCTCACCCCGCTCCCCAGATTTGAACCGCTGACCTTTAAGTGAGCAAGTTTAGCAGCTCAGCGGTTCAACCTTCTGCACCACCAGGTAGCTGTATTAAAAATGAACAGCACAGCCATTTAAAAACATGGCTTTCCCCTTTACCCTTTGGATGGGCTGCAATATTTAATTTCAACTAACTATAGGTAATTTGAATCCACTCTTGGCCAAAGGAATGGAAGAGGAGCATTAAAGAGTGCCAAGTTGTCTTCCCCTCGCCAAACTGTGCATTTCTTTGGCATCCCTGCCCTAGGTGCTTGGTCAGCCTTCTCAACCTATTGTCTTCTCCCAGATTACATGGCGAACATGGTGTGGATGGTCAGTTGTAATGCAACACATCAGGAGGGTTCCAGATTGGAGAGGACTCAACTGTATAATATACTGCAACTGTATAGTGTACCATAATGGGAGATTGGCATAGGACATTTGGCCTTTCAAGTTTCAACTTCCACCATAAGCATGGCCAAAGAAAAGAAAAGGTTCCCCACCCCTGCTTTAAGACCTGGATTTAATTACACTGACATCATCAGGAAAGGTGTTCATACTCTACTTTCACAAGAATGGTTCATATGCTGCCTCTGAGAATGGTGATTTTTGGAGCCGCGGGCTTATGAAAAAGGAAATATTTGTGAGGGAGAAACTAATTGGAAAACTTCTGTTTTCCAATGAGTTTCTCCCTCACAAATATTCCCGTTTTATTTCTATCTCATCCTTAGTTTTTATAATTTTACATTGTACATGTGGGCCACTCATCGTGATTGTGATTTAGTTATCACTGTATTTTTGCTCTGTTTTATTGTATTCTTATGTTTTATTTATCTTATTGTGATGTTTATTCTGTATTTTGGTTTTATTCTGTTGTAATGCACTGCTGGGCTTGGCTTCATGTAAGCCGCACCGAGGCCCCTTTGGGGAGATGGTGGTGGGGTATAAATAATATTATTATTATTATTATTATTATTATTATTATTGTGAAAAAGGCATGGGCCAACTTTGGTCCTCCAGTGTTTTGGACTCCAACTCCCACAACCCCTAAGAGTCGGCAGGCTGTTAGGAATTGTGGGAGTTGAAGTCCCATGCCTGTTTTAAAGTCACATTTCCAACTTGTGAGGTAGAATACGAGCACCTGCCCTTTGGCAAATTACAACTCTACATTATTGCACTTTAAAACTGTACATTACAATTGTACATTAGTAAAAAAAACTCCACTATGTAAAATGTGACTGCAAATACTATCTATTAAGATGCAAAGGAATAACACAATGAGTACAATAATCTTACCATTTCCAAATCGCCGTCAGCAACTGCTCTTAAAAGTTTGTCTACCTATGAAAGAAAGCCAGAAAGAAAGAGTTTCATGCTCACATTCTGTTATATTGTGTACTATCCAGAGCATCTCAAAATCATAGAATCATCAAGTTGGAAGAGACCCCAAGTGTCATCCAATTCAACTTTCTGCCATGCAGGAAAAGCACAATCAAAGCACTCCTGGCAGATGGCCATCCAACCTTTACTTAAAGACCTCCAGAGAAAGAGACTCTGCCATGCTCTAAGGCATCAGATTTCCCAGCCAAATTACTCTTACTGTCAGAAATTTTTCCTAATGCAGTGGTTCTCAACCTTCCTAATGCTGCAACCCCTTAATCCAGTTCCTCATGTTATGGTGACCCCCAACCATAAAATTATTTTTCTTGCTACTTCATGACTGTAATTTTGCTACTGTTATGAATCATAATGTAAATATCTAGGATAAGTGAAGTTTATTGATTAGTCCACTGACGAAGAATGGCAAAATGCGTCCTCACTGGAAGGGTATAGAGTAAAGTTTATTGATTAGTCCACTGACCATATTATCAGTAAAAGAAAAAAAAACACAAGAAAATACACAAATAGACCATAATCACTGTCCTAAAACCCCTGTAATAGTGAACATATATTAACCTACAATCAAAGAGCATCCTGAACTCCACCAACAGTGGAATCGAACCAACCTTGGCACAGAGAAATCCCATGACCCACAGAAAATACTGGAAGGGTTTGATAGGTATTGACCTTGAGTTTTGGAGTTGTAGTTTGTTACAGTAAGTCGTAATAGGATCAAGTGTGTGTGTGTGTGTGTGTGTGTGTATGTGTAAGAAAAATCTTATGGTGTTAATTATTATGTGTAGCTGGTAATGTAGGTCAGCCAGCATGTTTGAACCACACCCTGGATGGATTTTAGAATAGTTTGGAGAAGTAATATGCTGCTCTGAAGGAGCAATATGCTGTAATGCTGCTATGCTCTAACAGCGATGCTCTTTGCTATGGTGGAATAGCTATTTACTCAAGGTTTATGTTTTGCTCTCTCATTTGAATGAAGATGAAGAAGCCTTATTCTGTGTTACTTACAAGGACTATGTAAGTTTGTTGCACTGTTTGATTTTGTATGCAACACTGCAATTGTATTGCCTCTGCTGATAAGAGTAAAGTTTTTCTGTTGCTTTTTTTCTCTTCCTTTCCAATTGAACCTGGCTAAAACACGTTCTGGGCAAATAGTTTCCCTACATTCAGAGAGCACTGTGGACTCAATGATGGATCTGGACCAAACTTGGCATGAATACTCAATATGCCCAAATGTGAACACTGGTGGAGTTTGGGGAAAATCGACCTTGACATTTGGCCCAACAATATATTTGGCCAAACTTCCCACACGGAACCCCCATAACCAACAGAAAATAGTGTTTCCAGATAGTCTTTGGCGACCCCTCTGTCACCCCCTCGCAATCCCCCAGGGGTCCCGACCCCCAGGTTGAGAAATGCTGTCCTAATGTCTCTATCTATTCTCCATTTCCAATTTGCAGTACATTTTCATGTCAGATATCCCCTTGCCAATAGAAATACAGGGAGAGAGAAAAGATTAGAAATCTACTCCTTTGATGTACTAGATTTCTAAGGGAAGGCTATCTCTCAATAGAAATCCTAGGAGAGCGAAAAGATTAGAAATCTGCGCTTTTAACGTGTTAGATTTCTAAGTGAAAGCCATCTCTAAGATGAGGAAAGGTGCAGTTTCCCCAACCTGCAACTCAAATTGCTTGTTTCTAGGTAGAGCTCTTTTGCGTGACCAATCTGCACTTGGCTTACATTTCTAATTCTCAAGCAGAGAATTGAGAAAGACCAAGCTAAGGAGATCTACTCAAATGAATGAATGGCTAAGAGGAGACTCCAAAAAAAAGTCTGAGGTGCTGGAGGCTGGTAAACTATGTCTCCTCTAAAAAAAAGTTCTCCTGAGGAAACAATCATTCCAATCTGGGGCAGTTATGTACTTAAATGTTGGATTAGACATGTAGTTAATGGTGATGATCATTAACTTGATAGCAAGTCTAGCTTAATTCAATTAAGAGATATACACTACTCCTTCATTAATTTTCTTTTGGAAGCAAGCAATGCGTAATTTTAGCAATTTTCTTCCTGCTGCCAGAAAGTTTTTGAAAACCTGCAATTCTGGTAGACCATTCACAATTTGTGCAAAATTTGCATTTGATTGACTTGGAACAGAAAACAACATTTTCTGTTCAGGAAACATCATGGAACATATTGCTGGATATATGTGCAAATCAACACTATGCAAATTTTGCACAGTCCTCAGCTGCAAATATTCTCATCAGGCTGAGATTATTTACATTAGGTTTTCTAGACACTCAAAAATATGTTTTTTAACCATTAAAAAAGGATTGCAATGTTCTTTTTAACCCCTAAACTCAATATAGTGAAAGTGCAACAAAACATTTTTTTGACTCAACAAGAAACAACTGCAGCAAATCACAAGCAGTGAAGTAAAATTGGATTAGAGCACAACGGGGCTCTGGGCTTCAAAGGCTGAAAGGCCTAAGCTGCTGGTAATCTTTTTTCCCTTATTTGAACTACACACATGGAGATAAGTTCGTCCCTTTAAGGAACAGAAAAATCAAAACAAAGGGAGCCGCTCTCAATCTGTCACCGAACAAGTGTTTACATCCTAGAGTTCTTATTTATAGAACAGGTCACTGCTGTTGTGATTGCAGGGCTTTTCCGCCCCCTTCTAAATCCCTGAATAGCAGAAGGAATTTTTGGGAAGCAAAAGCAGCTTTGCAGGGAGGTGGGACAATCCCTTGCCTGCATCAGGGCCCCTGTAGGTTAAAAAATAAAATAAAATTCTAAACTGTGCATGGCCTATTCAATGTCATATTGCATTATTATTATCATTATTATTATCATCATCATCATCATCATCAGCATCATCATTATTTGATACACAACAAGATTAGTACACAGCAAACAAGATCGCTATGCTGGCTTTTGTATTTGATCACACGTCGGACACTTCCCAAGTGTTTAGGACTGTGTGATGTATTGGTGAATAATGTGTGCAGATCCAAGCAGCTAACATATGGTAATTTTATTAGTGCTGATTGTTTTTAAGTGCAGACCAAGGTCTTTAGGCCTAAATTTTGGTCTAATTTTTAATAATAATAACAATAATAACAACAATAATAAACTTTATTTATACCCCGCCACAATCTCCCCGATGGGGAATCAGGGCGGCTTACATGAGGCCAAGCCCTACAACACAATACAATAAAAGAAGTCAAAAACACAAACAATAGCACAATAAATTACATAAAAAATAAAATACAGCAAACAATATAAAATTAAAATAAAATCATTCATAACACAGTAACAGTGAGTGGGCTGCATTTTACCTATGTATATTTGTTATATGTATTGTAAAAGTGTTCTGTTTGTTCTCGCTGTTTTAACCATGTTGTACCCAACCTCGAGACACAAAGAGAGGCGGGTAAGAAAGGGAGATATTGACAAGCTGGAGTGTGTCCAGAGAAGGGCAAATTCAGTGTGGCACTTTCCACCCAGCAAGGTGGCGTGACCAAATAAACTTGTTGCAACGATCCTCTGACTTCAAGAGTTTAATCAACGGTGTGGAGAACAAGCCCTATGAGGAGTTGCTTAAAGAGCAGGGCATGCTTAGCCTGAAGAAGAGAAGGCTGAGAGGAGACATGATAGCCATATATAAATATGTGAGGGGAAGTCATAGGGAGGTGGGAGCAAACCTGTTTTCTGCTGCCCTGGAAACTAGGACACAGAACAATGATTTCAAACTACAGGAAAGGAGATTCCACCGGAACACGAGGAAGAACTTCCTGACTGTGAGAGCTGTTCAGCAGTGGAACTCTCTGCTTCAGAGTGTGGTGGAGGCCCCTTCTTTGGAGAGGCTGGTTGGCAATCTGTCGGGGGTGCTTTGAATGCGATTTTCCTGCTTCTTGGCAGGGGGTTGGACTGGATGGCCCATGAGGTCTCTTCCAACTCAATGATTCTAAGATTCTATGAATGGCAAGACATCCGTTCATGTTCAGATATCCACATCAGTGCTTATGAGATCCAGCACATCTTGGAGTGTCACTAAAAAATTAAAAGTAAACTTCTGGCGGATGTCCTACAGTCATCTTGTGGATTTTTAAAATCCGCGACAACTGAACCTCTCAGGACACGAGGGAGGTATTGACTAGGACTGACAGCTCTGTGTCTGGACTCTCCTTAAAGTACTGTGTTTTAAAAGTCACTTATTTGTCACAGATTATGAGCCTGTCTGGACAGGCCCTGGTTTTCTGCTTCCCTGCCAGTGGGCCAGTGCTTACTCAGCTCACCTCTTTATCAGTAGCTTTTGTTCCTCCTTGTCTCGCTTTGCTTGCGGCGGTTGTGACTGCAGAAGATAAACTGGTGACAGACGATACTTGGCTGATAGTGTCTTCCTCCTCCTCTTGCTGAGAAGCTCTATCCAGAGGCTGACAGAACCAGCAAAGAAAGCAAAAGGAGGAAGAAGAGTTTGCAGTATCAACACACTGACAGTGCCTGAGCAGGTAAAATGCCTTTACACTAAGGACAGCCTGGAAAGTGGCACACTTGGTTACCTGAGAAGTACTCTTTCCTCTTTCAAATGTGAAGTATTTCAGCTCCATTAAAGATAATATCTGCAGGAGAAAAAAATAAATTATTATTATTATTTGATACACAACAACATTGGCACATAGCCAACATGATCACCACGCTTATTATTATTATTATTATTATTATTATACATAACAAGATTAGTATACACCAAACAAGATCACTATGCTGACTTTTGCATTCGATCATACGTCAGATACTTCCCAAGTGTCTAGTGTCTAAGACTATGTAATGTATCAGGAAATAATGTGTGCAGATCCAAGTAGGGTGGCCTTTTGCAGCTGACAGATGGGCATTTTGCCAGCACTGATATTTTTTTTAAGTGCAGGCCAAGGTCTTTAGGCGTACTGATCTGTACTGTACTGGTTTACTGGCTCGTGCGAGAGCCTTTGCAGTTTGATCTTTAAATCCTCATATTGTGTAAGCTTTTCCAATTGCTTCTCATCAATCCTGCTGTCACCTGGGATTACAACATGAATAATCCATACTTTGTTTTTTCCATGATTGTGAGATCAGTATTGTGCTCCAAAACTCTTTCAGTCTGAATTCGGAAGTCCCACAGTAGTTTGACATGTTCATTTTCTGTAACTTTTTCAGGCTTGTGATCCCATTAGTTCTTTGTCACAAGGAGATGGTATTTGTGGTACAAGTTCCAATAGATCATCTGAGCAATGGTGTTATGCCTCTGCTTGTAGTCCATCTGCGCAATCTTCTTGCAGCAGCTGAGGATGTGATCTATCTTTTTGTCTGCTTCCTTGCAGAGTCTACACTTGGGATCTGTCATTGACTTTTCAATTCTGGCTTTGATGGCATTGGTTCTAATGGCTTGTTCTTGGGCTGCCAGAATCAGGCCCTCCGTCTCCTTTTTCAAAGTTCCATTTGTGAGCCACATCTATGTTTTTTTCCTTGTCCATTTGCTCTCAGTTTTTCCCAGGAACTGTCCATGGAGAGCCTTATTTTGCCAGTTTTCTCTTCTGCTCTGCATTGTATTTTTACGGTATTTACTCTTTGTCTTTTGCACTTCAAACAGTTCCCTACTATTGCCTTCCATCAATGTTGGTTCTTGACTGCTTTTCACATAATCTGCAAGGGCATGTTTCTCTTCTACCATTTGTTTCACTTGTAGAAGCCCTCTCTCTACCTCCTGATTTTCTGGGCAGGTAAAGTCTGTCGACTATGTGGGTGACAGGAGTAGTTGATTGTCATCAGTTTTCTTGTTTTTCTGTCCAGATCATCCAGCTCTGCTTGTGTCCAGTTCACAATTCCAGCCATGTATCTGATGACAGTGATGGCCCAGATGTTCATAGCATTAACTGTATTTCCACCACTTAATTTGCTCTTCAGAATTTTTCTGACCCCTTGGACATATTCTTTGTTGACCACATTTTTCACATGTCCATGCTTGATACTGTCCAGCTGTAGTATGCCCAGATATTTATAGGCTTCAGGCTGATTACACTTTATGGTTTGTCTATTTGGCATCTCTATGCCCTCGCTGTGAGTTATTCTCCCTTTCTATATTGCCACTGTAGCACATTTGTCTAGGCTAAACTTCATACTGATGTCAGTGCTGAAGATTCTGACTGTGTTGGTCAGTGACTGGATTTCAGTTTCTGATTTTCTGTAAAGCTTTTAATTATTATTATTATTATTACTATTATTATTATGTTTATTTATATATTGCTTTTTCTCTTCATAAGGTGACATTAAAAGCATTACAAAAATATCAGTGAATAGGCAGCTGAAGCCCTGTCTATAGGGAAAGTTGCTGACTGGAAGACAAATATGACATTAGCAAAGAACAGATGAGAGATCATAGAATCAAAGAGTTGGAAGAGACGTCATGGGCCATCCAGTCCAATCCCCTGCCAAGAAGCAGGAATATTGTATTCAAAGGACTCCTGACAGATGGCCATCCAGCCTCTGTTTAAAAGCTTCCAAAGAAGGAGCCTCCACCACACTCCAGGGCAGAGAGTTCCACTGCTGAACTGCTCTCACAGTCAGGAAGTTCTTCCTAATGTTCAGATGGAATCTCCTTTCTTGTAGTTTGAAGTTTATGTAGATGAGACATAAAAGTACATCAAGGAATGTCTGATTTACAAAACTGATCTTATGACATTGAAATGTGGCACTTCCCCTCTCAACGTAAACTGGAATTATTTTAAGAGCCCCTAGGTCTCTTTCTTTCTATTGATTACAAGCTTAAAAACAACAACAAGAAGAAGAAATTTATATTTTGAAAACATCCAAACAGATGATGAAGAAAGAAGACATTGTAGGGGCATCCCAGATCAAAACCAATTTCCTCCATACACCAAAACAAATTGAATTTTTTAACAAGGCCCAAGTCATTTTCCTCTCTGCAACTGAGGAATTTTAAAAAGCAAAGGACATTCATTTTAAAAGCTTCCAAAACATACCGTAGAATTTAACGCACATTGTGATGGCGTCTCTTTCATTCGATTCTGAATATCTGCATTGGCTCCATTTTGCAGCAGCACTTCTATGATGCCTTGGTAGCCCCAGCGGGCAGCAATATGGAGAGGGGTGTCTCCTTTTTCATTCCCAATGTCTAATTTACAAGAATGGATGTCATAATAGACTAAGGCCTTGACACACTAGGAAATTAAAACAAAAAAAGAATGAAGATGATGATGAAAAGATCCCACCAAACGATGGGATTAGAAACACATAAAGTTGGGTAGCTGTGAGTTTCTGGGCTGCATGACCATGTTCAAGAAGCATTCTCTCCTGACTTTTCATTGGTTCTGAATGATTCTTGTCTGGAATTCCCCTGTTTTTTGAGTGTTGCTTTTTATTTACTGTCCTGATTTTAGAGTTTTTTAAATACTGGTAGTCAAATTTTTTTTATTTTTATGGTTTCCTCCTTTCTGTTGAAATTGTCCACGAGCTTGTGGATTTCAATGGCTTCTCTGTGTAGTCTGACATGGAAGTAGTTAGAGTGATCTGGCTACCAGTATTAAAAAAAACCTCTAAAATCAAAACAGTAAATATAGAGGAACATTCACTAAACAAGTGAATTCCAGATAAGAATCAATCAGGGCCAGCTAACACCCCAAACAAAGGATCACAGGCTGCAATCAGCCAGGCTTTGAAGCTACAAGGCCATTAAATGCTAATCAAGGTGGCGAACTGCAACATTCACACTTTCCTTCAGCAGACAAGAGTTCTTTCTCCCACCCTGGACATTCCAGATATAAAAACCTCACTTGCCTAGTTTCCAACAGACCCCCTCAACCTCTGAGTATGCCTGCCAAAGATGTGGGCAAAATGCTTCTGGAATATGGCCATACAGCCTGGAAAACTCACAGCAACCCAGTGATTCTGGCCATGAAAGCCTTCAACAACACATAAAAGTGATTTTGTATTTTGTATTTAAAATATAATAACAACAAAAATGAATTTTCAAAGAAAACTGCACGTATAGTGAGATTTCACACACATGAGAAGTACTAAGCAAATTTCCTATAGACTACTTACATCTTCATGGCCATAAGTGCAAGCTAGATGCAATGCTGTGTTGCCATTATTGTCTTGTATTTCGTTCCTTGCCTTATAATGCAGCAGGAGGAGCTGGGGGGAAAATAGGTAATGCTTGTTTAAGAAACAGAAGGAGAAATAAGATGTTATCTCAAGGCATAGCTTGGAAATCGTATTTGTTTTGGGACAATAATTCCCAGAGAATTTATGATGTGAGATTCCATTGTTTCCCAGCAGAAGCTGCAGTCAGGCTCCAAATACAACTAATGTATTGATCAATCTATTGGAGCTTTCCTTCATTCTAAAGATCAGAATAACAAGCAATGGTCGTAAGGAACATCTCTCTCTACTTCTCACCCAAATGTCATGTCCTGGCACTGAGAAACCCGTATCTTATCCACATTCCTCCACTCTTTCTTCTCTTTTTCGCTCCCTTTTTTCCTAACCCGTTCTAACTTTGTGAAATTCACTTTACACATTTCCTGGTCCCAACAGTGTTGCCTGGATGATGGGTGTGGTGATGATAGATTTAAATGAGACTTTTACACGATGTTGATGCTTACAGTAACATTCTGGTATCCCTTCTGACAGGCCAGGTGAAGTGGTGTTGACCCATAGTAATCTGTAGCGTTGACAATGGCTCCTTTGGAGACTAACACGTCTATTAGCGAGGCTTGCCCTGAAGGAGGGAAAGCTCATTAACCATAGAATTATATAGAATTATGTACATTTGATGTAATACAAAAAGAGAGACAGTATGATAATGATAAACTGGTACACAATACAGGCTTGGTTATAGAAATACTAATCTACTGGAGCCTCCGGTGGTGCATTGGGTTAAATCCTTGTGCTATCAGACTGCTGACCAAAAGGTTGGTGGTTTGAATCCAGGGAGTGGGGTGAGCTCCCATCTGTCAGCTCCAGCTTCTCATGCAGGGACGTGACAGAAACCTCCCACAGGATGGTAAAACATCCGCGTGTCCCCTGGGCAATGTCCTTGCAGATGGTCAATTATCTCACACCAGAAACGACTTGCAGTTTCTCAAGTAGCTCCTGACATACACAAAAAATCTACTAACAGTTTAAATGAAAATTGTAGAATTTTCCTTGTAGATAATAATAAATTAATTAAGAAAAGAATTAAGTGAAACAATCTGCCATGAATAATCAAGATCAATTTCCAATGAAGAACTGAGAAAGAAGATACAACCAAGTCTTAGCATTGTTAGAATTTTCAATATTTTATGAAATGTGTGTTAAAGGAATAGAGAAGAAGACTTTGCTGTGATAATGATAATTTTGTAAAAGAACTCCCCATACCCCAGTATCCCTCACCCTCTTTATTCTTTCCTTATAACATATTAGGTGTTGTACTCCAAGGCTGGGAAGCACCTGTGCACTTAACACACACACACAGCAGTCCAAGGTATAATAGCAAGCAGTTTATTGAAGAAAATATAAAAAGCAATTCAGCAAAATAGTATCAGAAACCAAAGTCCAAAAAGCAGGGGTAATTAAAAAAAAGTACATGAGTAGCATCCAAAAACCTTGAATACAAGAGCAGGATAAATCCAAAACATGAAATTCAGGACAGTCCTTAAAACTTGGAAACAGGAAAAAAGAGCAAACAGGAAAACATGAACATGGCGCTAGAAAATCTCTTGCCTTGATTAGTTCTATTCTCAATCTCCAACGTTGCTTCCACTGACCAAAGATTCAGTTGACATTGCTAATATAGAGAGAAAAGCATGCCTTTTCCCTTGGGAAACTGATACAGACTTCCTCGCTAACAAGCGATTTGACCTTCGAACTTTTCCCTGTGAAAGTCTATGTTGACTAAAGGTAAATCTTCTATCTAATTGCCCATTAGTCTGACCACCTGGACTTTCACTATCATCTTGTTCTGTTGAAATGTGGCCTTTAGGCAGAGACTGCTCATTGTCAGTCTCTAACATTTCTAGGTGCCCCTGCTGACTTTCCTGCAGGCTTGCAGACCCAGAATCTCCAGTGTCAACAGGCTGACTAAGAGACCCAGAATCCCTTGTGTCAACAGGTTGACTAGCAGGCCCAGAAACCCCAGAGAGATCAGGTGCAGGCACAATCAAAGTCTGAACTACAACATAAGGCCCCTTCCACACAGTGTATCAAAAATCCACATTGAACTGGGTTATATGGCAGTGTGGACCCAGATAACCCAGTTCAAAGTAGATATTGTGGATTATCTGCCTTTATATCTGGGTTATATGGATGTGTCGAAGGGCCCCGAGATATATGTAAAGATGCAACTAACCAATAACTAATAACAACAACAACAAGAACACAATCCAGAGCAGAAGAGAAAACTGGCAAAAGAAGGCTCTTTCCTAGTCAGTTCCTGGCAAAAACTGAGAGCCAAATTGACAAAGAAAAAACATGGCTGTGGCTCACAAATGGAACTCTGAAAAAGGAGACGGAGGGCCTGATTCTGGCAGCCCAAGAACAAGCCATTAGAACCAATGCCATTAAAGCCAGAATTGAAAAGTCGACAACAGATCCCAAGTGTAGACTCTGCAAGGAAGCAGACAAAAGATGGATCACATCCTCAGCTGCTGCAAGAAGATCGCGGAGACAGACTACAAGCAGAGGCACAACACCGTTGCTCAGATGATTCATTGGAACCTGTGCCACAAATACCATCTGCCTGTGACAAAGAACTGGTGGGATCACAAGCCTGAAAAAGTTACAGTAAACAACACAAACATAAAATTAACAAAACAATATAAGCATTAATGTATTGTCGAAGGCTTTCATGGCTGGAATCACTAGGTTCTTGTGGGTTTTTTCGGGCTATAGGGCCATGTTCTAGAGGCATTTCTCCTGATGTTTTGCCTGCATCTATGGCAAGCATCCTCAGAGGTAGTGAGGTCTGAGCAGGTGACAGTAGGATTGAAGAGAAACAACTGGAAAAAATGACACGATATGAGGATTTAAAGATCGAACTGCAAAGACTCTGGCACAAGCCACTCAAGGTGGTCCCAGTGCACACTGGGTGCAGTGCCCAAAGACCTTGGCCTGCACTTAAACACAATCAGAGATGACAAGATTACCATCTTCAAAAGGCCACCTTACTGAGATCTGGATGCATTTACCAATACATCACACAGTCTGGGAAGTGTCCGACGTGTGATCCAATACGACAGCCAGCAGAGTGTCTGCTGTGGACTTACCTTGTTGTGTTTCAAATAATAATAATAATAATAATTATTATTATTATTATTATTATAATTATTATTATTATAATATAAACTTTATTTATACCCCGCCACCATCTCCCCAAATGGGACTCAGAGTGGCTTACATGAGGCCAAGCCCAGAAATACATTACAGCAAAATAAAACATGAACAACAAAATAACATCACAATAAAATGAATAAAACATTCAGGTAAAATAAGTAGTGCAAAATAACATAATGGAAAATCAAACACAGTGGGTGGGCCAAATGCACGACATAAAATGATAAAACTCTGCATGAGATAGAAATGAAAAAGGTATATTTCTGGGGGAAGACCTAATTCTAATATCCCCCAAATTATTATTTTTCCCTCGCTCCCCTAGAATGAAATTTATTTTTACTTTTATTTGGAAATGCTTAATAAAAATTATTTGAAAAGAGAAAAAAATGAGCCCTTTCACAGCAGGCAAAGGAAATTTATTTTCCGAGTCAAACAGTTTCTCTGCTTGTGAGAGCTCTCCTCGCATTTGCTCTGGTGTTCAATTGGCAGCAGGGACTGGCAACAGATTATTATTCTAGGTCTGGGCCAAGCAAGGGACTTCCTATCAGTAACTAAAGAATCGGATTTCTCTGTCAAAAGAGCCTAGTAAGAAAGAAATGCAAAAACAAATTATAAACACAAAAAATAATGATCCTGTTCTGGCTAAAGGAACAGTAAATAAGCAGCCTCCAAAATAATGAACTTTTCTGTCAGTTCTCACATCATTGACCTACATTCGGCAGGATGGAGCTGCAATCCTGGTGCAGCAGAAAGGATTAAGGCCGATATTTGGGGCAAAATATCTCCATTCCCAAGGGATAACATCAGCTCAGGGATTCAAGGCATCCAGTCCAGCCCTCGGCCAAGCAGACGGAATAGATCTTCTCAAACAGCCAAAACAACCCCGACTGCGATGAAATCAAAATCACATCCACTCACACCATTGCCCCTTTATAAATTACAGTAGTTTGGTGAGGCACAAGCGCTCTGGCACAGAAGGCTAAAAACCTTGTAAAACTACCGTTTCCATGATTCCATTGTACTGAGTCACAGCAGATAAAGTGGTGTCAAACTGCATGAATTCTACAATGTAGATGCACCTTCGGTTAGCATCCCTCTTATGTAGCCCATATCAATAGTGTAAACCAAATTAATCAAACCTTAGTTTTGAATATGTTTTAATGAATTTTAACTGAATTTTTAAAATACCAATAATATTTAATTCTAATATTTATATATTTGTAGATTTTAAATTGTATCAAAATGTTTTAAATGTAATGTGTAATAATATAATTAGAATATGTACAATGACTATGGAACGGCCTTAGGCTATGATTTCTGGATGGCGTAATTTTAATATTGAATGCAATTTTTAAATGTTTAATATGTATTAATTTTAATTCAATTGATTTTAAGCTTAATGTTTATATGTGTTTAAAGTATTGAATAATTGCCATATGTAAACCTGGGGCTTCTCTCACCGTAGCTTCTCACACCAGGCCCTCTCATACTGAGGCCTACTAACACAGAGGCCTCTCTCATTCTGAGGCCTTTCTCCCACTGAGGGCTCTCTCAGACTGAGGCCTTTCTCCCACTGAGGCTTTCTTACATTGAGGGCTCTCTCAGACTGAGGGCTTTCTCCCACTGAGGCCTTCTTACACTGAGGGCTCTCTCAGACTGAGGGCGTTCTCCCACTGAGGCGAACTAACACTGAGGCCTACTGAGGCCTACCTCACACTGAGGCAAACTAATCTACAGGCACACCTGCTTATATAGAACTACAGCTTTTACTGAGTCGTATCCATTTAACTCTTTCAGTGCTTGACTCACATTTTTGTGATGAAAAAAAATACCTAGTTAATTTTTAATATTTCTGACATGGATGGCTTACGAGGTCTCTTCCAACTCTGTGATTCTAAAACTATTTCCCCTTTTGTCTTTGTCCCCCTCCTTTACTATAGTTCCCAACATCCCAACATCGAGCTGTGAGAAGACATTGGTAAGAAATAAAATAATAATTATAATTATTATGACTATCATTATTATTATCCCCACCATGGACTCTCCCCCTCTATCAATCCTCACCATATTCTCTTCAGCAGAATACACGTGAACTGATAGACCACCGTTGTTCTCACCACACCACTTACTACTCCAAGGCTCCAAATACTGGCTGGTACTGTAAATGAGCAGTTTTAAACATATCGCAGAATCGTATGCAACATGCAAGGCTTCTGTGACAGATTCTGCGGGATACATCGGTATCTGCTGGAAGTGGAAAGCTGGAATACTATTGGAATATTCCAAATGCACAATATTGCAATTCTTACCACATATTGCAGCTATATGGAGTGGAGTGTATCCTCGGTCATCTCTAGAAAATGGCGTAACAATGGAAGGATCATTCAGTTTCCTGAAAATTAAAAGGCAAAAAAAGTGACAAAACAATGTACCGTGGGCCCTCCAGATCTGCAAATTCAACATACATGTTCACATTGCTGCCATTTAACATGGGACATAATCATCTGCATTTTTCCATACGTGGATGGAGTTCAGAAACAAAACTATAACAGGCATACTGTATACTACTACTACATATAATTGCTTTTTCCCTACAAACACCAAGAAAGATGGTTATATCTACACTGTTTTAAAAGGATGGCTATTAACTTGCCTTAAGTCTGAACTCTGTGCCAAGTGTTCAGACTTACTACTTACAGTTTGCAATACCTGAGTAACAACATGCAGCTACATGTAGATATGTTGCAAGTTTGCTCAAATAATGTACACAGTACACAATGAGCAACCTATGGTCTCCATTGTTTGGAATGTCACTTTGGTGTAGTAGAGTTATGTCCATTAGATACCCAACAATTGTCCTTGCCAGCTATGCTCATAATACCAGACAATTTAAGTGTATCTGTAGGTAGGGATGTCACTGTTTCCAATTCCCATCATCCCTAGCTAACCTGGCCAAGTGCAATACACAATCAGAATAGAAGTTCTTACATATTTAGAGGACCAAAGGCACTCTGGGAGGTGGGGCAGTATGGAGTATCCTGATTTAACTTTGGGCATGGAGCTGGAATTGATTACTTTCTGGCATATTCTTATGATGTGACACAAGGATGTCTTTGTTTATACAAGTCTCTGACACACTCCTCCACTTTGTTCCTTTCTCACAGTAAAAACAAACTATAGGGTTGCTTATAGCTGTGCCATTCTTTCCCCCTTGACAGTAAGTAACCCAATTGCATGCACAGGAAGATAGGCAGAGTTCACTTGGCCTTACTTTCAGTTTGCATTTTGCAACTTAGTTCTGTTGATTCAGGATTGATTCATTTGTTTATTGTCAACCCAAACACTCATTTTTTTCCTCATAGATTTCACACACACACACACACACACACACACACATACACACGACCCCTGGTGGCGCAGCAGGTTAAACCGCTGAGCTGCTGAAATTGCTGATGGTTGGTGGTTCGCATCTGGGGAGCAGGGTGAGCTCCCACTGTTAGCCCCAGCTTCTGCTAACTTAGCAGTTCGAAAACATGCAAATGTGAGTAAATCCAATAGGTACTGCTTATGCGGGAAGGTAACAGCACTCCATACAGTCATACTGGCCACATGACCTTGGAGGTGTCTATGGACAACGCTGGGTCTTCGGCTTAGAGGAGATGAGCACCATTCACCAGGGCCGAACACAAGTAGACTTGATGTTAGGGCAACCTTTACTTTTTATATATATAAATACACACACACTCATACATACAGTACTCACAATGTATCTGCTGTTTAAAACACCAAGATATTCTATGATAGCAAAATTTTGTATATTAACCTCCTCCCCCCTCCTCCCGCAAATTTATCCGATACACTTGCCAAAACATTTGGTGCTTCAAATATTAGACCTATTTCTGGGTATATCTGAGCTACTGGTTCCAAAAATGGCAGCAGTTTTCCCCTATCACATCTGGTTTATGAGATACAGAACATATATGTTTTACTCAAAGTCATCCATAATAACAATGGTTTCTGAATAGCCAAAGAAAGTCTGGAATGCAAAGAATGGTGTGTGTATGCATCCCACTAAAGAGTGAGAAGCCCATCTAGCCTCTGTCCAGGATTCCCAATTCAGCAAGTAATTTGTACACAATTATACCCCTTGGTGCAGTGGGTTAAACTACTGAGGTGCCAAACTTGCTGACCAAAAGGTCGGCAGTTTGAATCCGGGGAGCAGGTGAGCTCCCGCTGTTAGACCCAGCTTCTGCCAACCTAGCAGTTCGAAAACAGGCAAATGTGAGTAAATCAATAGGTTCCGCTATCCAGTAGGAAGGCAATTGTGCTTCATGCAGTTATGTTGGCCACATGAACTTGGAGGCGTCTACAGACAATGTCGGCTCTTTGGTTTAGAAATGGAGATGAGTACCACTCTGTAGTGTTGGACACGACTAGACTTATTGTCAAGGGGAAACTTTTACCTTTACCTATCCTTAAATAAATTCCAATGCAATCCTATGAAGGTTTATTGAAAAAGCCCACTGAGTTCAATAAGACATCTATCATTTTCTAAGCAAAAAAACTTACATCAATAATTTGTGTTATGCAATTTTAAAACCAAGGATCATGCTAGCACTAACCACAGTAAACTAACTCACTCGAACACAGTCTATGTTATCCTGTATCAGTTCCCACATAAGCCTTGAAAAAATGGAGGCATTTGTAAACAGGCTCCTTACCCAGAAACCAGTTTCTCGCATGTGTCACAAAAACACAGCGGGTGGCACATTTTTTGCATAGTGTCTTTATCGCTGTCCCCTTGGCTTAATAAGCACTCTACTTCTTCCTGGTTTCCCGAAGCAATGTGCTGTAAAAAAGAGCAAAAGGTAAATATTTGTGCAAAATCAAAGCCAAACTAATTTAGGAAGGAAGGTGAAGAAAATAGAACGGGTTGGGTCATCTGTGCTCATGTCTATGTCTAAAAAGTTCATATTAAAAATCAAATGCTTGCCAAAACTCTTTGAACAGAATGCTTCTGCAGCCTAAGCTCACAAGACTTGAAAAATCTCAAGATTACAATGAAGACTCATAACTGCACGTCTTAAACTAATCAGCTTCTGATATCAAATGAAACTCTAATACACTGGAGACATGGCAAGATTAACACTGGAGGTCATCTTGGGAGAGGAGGCTTAAAAATAATCACAGTGAGATATCTTAGGTTTGAAACATTCTCGGAGGATAATAAAATATAGGTCTACTTGCAAAGATAAAGCAATATGAATACAAACCAGCCAAGTGCTGGCATAAAGGCTTTGTGGTGCAGAAATCTGGGGTTCAGATACCAACATTGTAAAACCTTGGAAATTTTGCACAAGTTCCTACGAAAACTTTATTCTCTTCTAGATGAGCTGTGGCACAGCTAGTTAGTAGCCAGCTGCTACATTGACCAAGAGATCATGAGTTCGAAGCCAGACCAGGTCAGAGTGAGCTCCCAACCATTAATAGTCTAGCTTGCTGTTGACCCATGCAGCCCAAAAGACAGTTGCATTGGTCCAGTAGGAAATGTAGGTACCGCTTTATGCAGGGAAGCTAATTTAACTAATTTACGATGCCATAAAACCTTCCAGCAGTGTGCAGAAGAATGAGGACGTGCTCCATCAAAGGACTCGGTGTCACAAGTGGACAGTGAACTGGCAGCTCCCCTGTGGCCAGAATCGAGCATACCCTCATGAATCTGGAAAAGCTGGAATGTTAAATTGTCTCTGTATGTCTACAGATGTTGTATGTTTAATGGCATTGAATGTTTGGCATGTATATGTGCATTGTAATCCACCCTGAGTTCCCTGCGGGGTGAGAAGGGCGGAATATAAATACTGTAAATAATTAAATAATAAATAGCTGGAACTTCTGAAGCATTTCTGCGCACTGAATCTGGATGGCCGTCAGTAAAATCAAAAGTAGATTGTGCCCAATTAAGATACCTCAAGCCAATTGCTACTCTTCAAAACAACCGTCTTCCAATGTTGTGCTATGAGGAAATTAGTAACTATCAACACTGGAAATCCGGCCTAGAAAACCTCCTACTCAACTACAATCTTCCTGAATTGAATTCTGCCCTGGACATGAATAAGAGGCAACTAAGAGACTGGATATTTTTTACTGACTCAAGAAGGGCCCTGCAATCAACTAGGAACTCAATTTTTCCCCATGTTTCCCCGTTCTGAAAACTGAACACTTCTGAGCCAGATTTTTTTTTCATGCAAGTCGCTTCTGTGAGAGAATTGGTCGTCTGCAAGGACGTTGCCCAATGGACGCCCAAAGGTTTTGATGTTTTACCATCCTTGTGGGAGGCTTCTCTCACATCCCCGCATAAGGAGCTGGAGCTGACAAAGGGAACTCATTTGTGCTCTCCCCAGATTTGAACCTCTGACCTGTTGGTATTCAGTTCTGCCAGCACAAGGGTTTAACCCATTGTGCCACCGGGGGCTCCAGATATCTGTTTACTTCCTTAAGAATGGCCTTCACTGAGCTGCGATTTCAAGTAATGCCAACCACAGTGCCAGATGGTCGCTACCATAATATGACATGGGAAATGTATTTGTAGTCAATGTCAGATAGACATTGTACGTTATCTGCTGGTCTACCCACTGTATAGTGACCAAAGAGAAAGACACCTAAATCCTTGCTGACACAAGGTAAAGGGAACTCTATTGCAGAAACAGTGCAGTTTCTGCTGAGTGTCACAAATGACTATGTAACCTACAAAGTAGCCCTTTTTTGCTCTAGCTCTAAAAAGATCAGAAAGACAGAGTTACATAAAATTGCCATCAGCTGCTGAGGAGACTCTAAGAGTTAACTGTACCCTCTCCCAAAATGTACTTGATTATTGTTAACTCACATTGCATTGTTTTTGGCTGCCAATAAGTTGCCCAGCCAAATTCAAGTTGCAGGTTATTACCTATAAAGCCCTAAATGGTTCGGGCCCCACCTATCTTCGCGATCGCATCTTCTTCTATGAATCGGCACAAACTCTAAGATCCTCTGGGGAGGCCCTCCTTTTGCTCCCACCACCGTCACAAGTATGATTGGTGGGGATGAGAGAGAGGGCCTTCTCGGTGGTGGCCCCCGCTTCTGGAACGCACTTCCAAGGGAAATAAGACAAGCCCCATCCCCCCCCCTTTCGTAAGAGCTTGAAGACCTGGTGGTTTCAACAAGCCTTTGAGAATGTCCAGTTCTAGCCCAGCCCTTAGCCATTGTTGAATATGGCCTTACTCTTCCTATCTATTTACCCCGGTCACTTCCTCTAATAGGCCCTGGAAACGAGCAGCCACAAACCCGTACCTGCTATTGCTGTTGCCTGTTATAGCACTGTACTCAATTCCTGGGCCCCTTTTGAGTTTGCGCTAGCCTCGGCCCAGCCCTTTTAACTGCTTTGAACAGGCAGGATTATTTTTAATATATATGTTATTGTGATAATTTTTATGCTTATCTTGTTGTGAATTTTATGTTTATGTTGTTAACTCTGTATGTTTTAGTGATGTTACTTGGAAGCCGCCCTGAGTCCCCTCGGGGAGACAGAGCGGTATATAAATAAAGTTTTATTATTATTATTTTGCATTGTTTTTGCTCTTTGTGGAAGCATGATTATGGTTTCTGTTTAGCATCTTTAGTGCCTGTTGCACCAAGGGTACTATTGTGTGCATGTGGTGCTTTTTGTCATGGCCTTGAGCCTGTACAATAAATTATTTTGGTGATTTAAGGGAATACAAACCTGGAACAAGCAGTCTATTGGAGTAGTGGACATTTGAGACAGCATGTTCATTCTTTGTTTTAAGAAAAGCTTCTCACTAAATCCTGCAGTCTCCTATAAAGAAAGAAAGAGAGAGAAGGGGACCCGGGGTTATCCATTAATATTTTACTGCAAATGTATATTTTCAACACAAGGTTTTCCAGCTTAATGCATAATCTAGGGTTGATCCGTTGTAAATCCAGGTTAAATACCTTAAAGACAAATATGAGATTATTATATCAAAGCACGCGATATCAGTAATATTTTTATATAAATTAGTCCTTTTTAAAAAAGAAAAGAAAAGAAAGGTTCAAGAATAAAATCAGCATCAGCAATGAATGTCACAGCAACACAGAATTCAGTTCATACTATGCCACCGATTAAAAAGAAAAGAAGCGCACACTGGACAACAAAACAGATTTAACCTGTCGCAAATGAAAAATTTAAAAATATGCAACACTGATTTGTCAACAGATGGGTGTCTTGACTAACTCATCACACTAGAGAATGAATTCACTTTAAATCCGGCTGCTGCCTCCTGCAGAATTCTGGGGTTTGTAGTTTAGGGAAGAGGCTTTAACACCCTCACTAAACTACAAACCCCAGAATTCTGCAGGAGGCAGAAACTGGATTTAAAGTGGATTCATTCTCTAGTGTGATTAAGTAGTCTGATAAGTGTCCCAAAAAGGGTCTAAATGCAGAAAAAGTATTTCCCCCCATCTCTAATTACCCAACAGCTGCAAAACAGACCCACTAAACACATGGGATTTAGGTTTGATTTAAATATTAGTCATTGATTCAGTTGGTCTATTCTGCTGCTGAATATGCATGCCCAGTATGGAATACATCTCACCACATGCAATCAGTGGATGTGGCTCTTAATGAGACATGCTGCATTATCACAGGATATCTACACCCCACACCACTTGAGAAATTACACTGTTTAGCCAGTATTGCACCACCTGACATCTGCCAGGAAGTAGCAGCCAGCAATGAAAGGACGAAGGCATTTACATCTCCGATCCATCCTCTGTTCGAATATCAGTCAGCATGCAAATGCCTTAAATCAAGAAACAGCTTCCTAAGATCCACAGAGATACTCGCAGGAGCCCCTAAGCAAGCAAGAGTCCAAAAGTGGCAGGCTAAAACCTGGGACCTCAATCAGTGGCTGAAACCAGATGAGAAACTTCCTCCTGGGCACACAGAAGACTAGGCAACTTAGAAGGCACTGAACAGGCTGCGCTCTGGCAGCATGAGATGCAGAGCCAATCTTAAGAAATGGGTCAATAAAGTGGAGTCCATGACATGCGAGTGTGGAGAAGAGCAAACCACAGACCACCTACCACAATGCAGCCTGAGCCCTGCCAAATGCACAATGGAGGACCTTCTTACAGCAACACCAGAGGCACTCCAAGTGACCACTTTCTGGCCAAAGGAATTTAGTATAATGCCAAGCTTTTAACTTTGTGGTTTTTTTATACATTATAACTGTATTCTCAATTTGCTTCTGACATGATAAATAAATCGTTGGGTCTACTCTAGTTGGACTAGCACTTGGAGCTTGGTAAATATGGCACAATATATGTTTCTATTATGCAATAATGAATTCTTTAAAAAACACATCAGGAGCTTTTCTCCTTTGGGAGAAGCAAGCCTTAGCCTAAGTGGAATCTTAGGAGTCAGTGGTACCTTCCTCTCTTTTGTGTGTTGGCACAGCGAAGAGGCTGAAACCACTTTCCACTGGCATTCTGTCTGGGGATCTGGCGTCATGTTGGTGACTCTATTTGCCTTTTGAATTCATAGTTCAGGAAAACGATTTCAACAAGTTTTTGTTAAGATCAAGGGCAGGGAGATCACTGTCAAACAACTTGTTATTCTTGGAGCCCTTCCACACAGCCATATAACCCAGAATATTAAGGCAGAAAATCCCACAATATCTGTTTTGAATTGAGTTATCAGAGTCCACACTGCCATATATTCCAGTTCAAAGCAGAAAATGTGGGATTTTATGGCTGTATGGAAGGGGCCTTGGGGGAAAAGGGAACTCAAGACAGACAATTTTTCAATGTTATAACCATTTGTTTGAGGAGCAATTGTCATTTTTAGTTCCAGTATAGCCCAGTTTGATCATCAGAAGTATTGGATTGCTAGTTCCAGTGCCACAGACAACACAGCCAGTGCTGTATTTATTTATTATTTATTTACATTATTTATATCCCGTCCATATCAGCCTGCAGGCGACTCAGGGCGGTCTACTGTATTCAATCTCAGCCCTCCAGATGTTCCTAACATTCTCCTCATGCTGGTTAAGGCTTCTGGGATTTGCAGCCCAATAATATCTGAATGTCTGCATGATTCCTATGTCTGAACTGATGCAAAGAAAGCATCCTCCGGCACTTATTTGAATGCCAATATGAACACACCGAATGCTGATTTAGGCATGTATACATGAAATGCCATGGTCCTCACTAGGATGCATCTTCACTGTAGAATTAATGCAGTTTAACCACAATGAGTCAATGATATAGAAACCTGGGTGGTCAGTGATATGGAATCATGGATGTTGTAGTTTGACAAGGTCTCTAGCCTTTTTGTACCCAACAGAGCTGGTACTTCACCAAATTATAACTCCTATGACTCCATAGCATTCAGCCATGGTATAGCTCCTATGTGAAATGTATGGCCTAAATCAGGCATAGGGAATTGTGGGAGTTGAAGTCCAAAACACCTGGAGGGAGGGCCCAAGTTGGCCTATGCCTGGCCTTAATCAAACAGTTACAGGCAAGTTGTGTGATCTCTCAAGACCTGTCTACGTGGCCCCAAAACTCCAGAAGCGACTCCTGGACATGCAGACAATGTCCCAGGATGTCTAGTCCACAGTATTTTAACCTGGTTAATCTGGTTTTGTTCTGTATTATGAGAAGCTGGCAAATGTGTTGGAGTGTTGGCAAAAAACTCTAGAGCAGCCTTGTACTTGGGGAGTCAGTGTGGACAGCTGAACCAGCTCCAATCCAAACCAGTTCACTTTCTACACAGACTGGTACAGCCATCATCTCCACAGTGTAAGGGAAAGGAGACAGATCAGGCCTGTATTGCCACATCTACTGCTGTGGCAGATGAGCATGGAGCTCAAGAGAGCTACGSGTGGTCATCAGGTGCCTTTGTTGACCAGAACAACAGGGGGACTGGAGATGGGAGGATGGACRGGCATTTATGGTRCTCCCTTATCTCAGTAGATGCCAAAAAGCTCTGGGAAGCTTCCAATCATCTCCTTTACTGATGTGACAGTTAAARTGCATTAATTCYACAGTGTAGATGCACCCTCTTCTTTGAAATCTATMCCAGGACAAGCTCCATAGTAATCTGGCAGCAGCAACAGGGGACGTTCAAGGTAAGAGAACTCCCAYTGGGGCTGAACTGGTTTCTGCCCAGCTGGATGAWCTGGACCAGGCATMMGCCAATTTTYGCTCTCCCACTAGGTGTTTTGGATATCACTTCCCACAATTCCTGACAACCAGTGCTAGATTTAAAAAAKCCCACTATMTYCCTTATGCAGAGATTTGAGGCAGTAGATTATGGGGTGCCGGGAAAAGGCAACAAATTGCTCATTGTTTAATGTATCATTGTAGTTTTATTTCCAATGGGAGAGGTATCTGGTGTTGTCAAAAATCACCTGGGTGATTTTGCACTTTGAGTAATAATGCATCTTTACTATAGAATTAATGCGCGATGATGCCACTTTGAATGCCATGGCTCAAGGCTATGGAATAATGAGAGTTGTAGTTTTACAAGGCCTTTAGTCTTTTTCTGCTAAGGAGTGCTGATGCCTCACCAAATCCCAAGATTGCATTGAGCCATGGCAGTTAAAGTGTTGTCACCCTGAATGAATTCTACAGTGTAGACGAGGCATGGGCACACTTAGGCCCTCCAGATGTTTTGGACTTCAACTTAAGCGGCTGAGAGGGAAAAGGAAAGGGCCTGAGGCTGTTAGGAATGGTGGGAGTTGAAGTCCAAAACATTTGGAGGGCCCAAGTTTGCCCATGCCTAGTCAGGATGCACCCTTATGTTGAGTACTGCAGTTTGATGAGGCACTAGAGCTTTGCCATGATATGGAGCAAATCAGGGCTCTGCCACTGCCATACAGAGCAAACCGATTCAAACTGCAAGAGAATATTAGAATCAATTTCCTGAGAGGAAGAAGTGTTCAACAATGGAATAGGCTGCCCTGAATTGTGGCTGCAACTCTCTCCCCATAGCTTTTTAAACAGGGGTTAGATGGCCATCTGTTAGGAATGCTTTGATTGTGCATTTCTGCCTGATAAGACTGGGTGGCTCTTGTGGTCTCTCTTCCAGGCTATTGTACAACATTGTTAAACCAGCAACTGTGGCTATAAGTTTAACATACCTCAACACAAAATATCTGAAGATAGGTATTTAATTATATTGTTTTTCGTCTTATGCAAGACCCAAGTTGGGAAGATCTAGGGTTGGATACATCTGCTATAATTTCCAAAGAAGTAGTTGTATTAGGTTTTTGCAACATAAAAAGAAGGAATGGAAGGAATTGAACATAAAAAGAAAGAATGTGGCATAATGTAAGTTTGTTTAAAACAGTGTTTCTCAACCTTCCTAATGCCGTGACCCCTAATACAGTTCATGTTGCGGTGACCTCCAAGGAAAACATTATTTTTATTGCTACTTCATAACTGTAATTTTGCTACTGTTATGAATTGCAACGTAAATATCTTTTTCTCAGCATTAATGTTCCGATGTCCTTTACAATTGTGATTGTTTTTATATTTTATCTAATGTTTTTAATTGGTTGTGTTCTATTTGTAATTTTTGGGCTTGTCCCTTGTAAGCCGCCCCAAGTGTCCTTGGGGAGATGGTTGGTGGGGTATTATTATTATTATTATTATCATCATCATCATCTGATATGCAGGATGTATTTTCATTCACTGGGTCAAATTTGGCACAAATACCCAATACGCCCAAATTTGAATGCTGATGGGGTTCGCAGGGGTGTGTGTGTGATTTTGTCATTTGGGAGTTGTAGTTGCTGGGATTTATAGTTA